TTCTTTTTTTTTTTAAAGATTGCTTTTTAGAGCAATTTTGGGTCCACAACTTAACTGAGCAGAAGGTACTGGGGGGATGCCCATAAACACCCTTGCCTCTGACACACACAGCCACTCCAGTATCAACATCCTGCATTGGAGTGAGAAACTTGTTACATTCAATGAATCAGCACAGACACATCATTATTACTTAAAGTCCATAGTTTACAGAATGTACATTCTATGGGTTTGGATAAATGCATAATGCCATGTATCCACTATTATGATATCATACAGAGTAGTGGCACTACCCTAGCAATCTTCTATGTTCTGCCTATTCATACCTCCTTCTCCCTCTAATCTCTGGCCACTGTGGATATTTTTATTTCCACAGGTTTTCCTTTTCCAGAATGTCAAATGGTTGGTATCACATAGTATGTAGCCTTTTCAGATAAGTTTCTTTCATCTAGTAATACACATTGGAGGTTCCTCAGTGTCTTTTTATGCTGTGATATCAGCTCATTTATTTTTAGTGCCGAATACTGTTCCATTGCATGGATTTACCACAGTTTATTTTTCCATTTCCCTACTTAAGGACATCTTGGTTACTTTCAAGTTTTGGCAATTCTGTGGTGGTGGACACCTGAAATCCCAGCAAACTGAGAGACTGAGGCAGGAAGATTGCAAGTTCAAAGCCAATCTGGGGAACTTAGAAAGGCTATCTCAAAATAAATAAATAAATAAAAAAGGCCTTGGGATGTGACTCAGTGGTGGAGCACCCCTGAGTTCAACACACAGCACACACACACACACATTAAAAAAAAAAATCTCAAAGTTTTGGCAACTATGAATAAAAAATGCTATGAACATGCATATGTAGATTTGTGTGAACATGTTTTCAACTAATTTGGGTAAATGTCAGAGAGTGCAATTGCTGGATTGTATGGTAAGAGAATGCCTAGTTTGCAAGAAACTGCCAAACTGTTTTCCAAAGTGGCTGTACCCATTTTGCAACGCTAGCAGCAATGAGACTTCCTGTTGCTCCACATCCTCACCAGCATTTGGTGTTGTTAGTTTTTTGGGTTTTATCTATTCTGATAGGTGTGATAATCTCATTTTACTTTTAAAATTCTCTATGACTCATGCATGATATTGAGCATCTTTTCAAGTGCTTATTTGCTAAATTTGTATCTTTTGTGAGGTGTCTCTAGATCTTTTGTCTATTTTTTTAAGTCAGGTTTTAATCTCTTATTGTTGAGTTCTTGGTACATTTTGAATAATGGAACTTTGTTTGATATGTCATTTTTTTCCCAGCATGTGGCAAATCTTCTCAATCTCTTGACAGTGTCTTTAACCCAGAAACTTTAATTTTAATGAACTCCAGATTTTTAATAATTTCTTTTACAGATCTTGTCTTTGGTGTTGTATCTAAAAATTAATGCCAGATCCAAGATCTTGCACTCAGATAGATTTCTCTTCTGCAATATTCTAGTAGTTTTTATAATTTTGAATTTACATTTAGGTTTTGATCAATTTTGAGTCAATTTTTGTAACTGGGTATAAGATCTATATCTGGGTTCTTTTCTTTCTTGCATGTGGATACCCAATTGTACCAGCATCATTTGTTGAAAGGACTACCTCTTCTTTATTGTACTGCCTTTGCCCCTTTGTCAAAGATCAGTTGACTATATGAGTCAATTTCTGAGGTCTCTTTTCTATTCCATGGATCTATTTGCCTGTTCCTTTTTTATCTTTTGGCAGTGTTGGGGACTGAACCCAGAGCATCATGCATGCTAAGCAAATGCTCTACTACTGAGCTATACCCCCATTTCCATTTGCCTATTCTTTTGCCAATACAACAACTGGACCTTGATTACTATAGTTTATAGAGTCTTGAAATAACTTAATGTTGGTCCTGTGATTTTTTTTCCTTCTTCTATATTGTGCTGACTATTCTGGGCCTTATGCTTCTCCATATAAATTTTAGAATCAGTTTGTCAATATCCACAAAATTGCTGGAATTTTGACTGAGATTTCATTGAATCTAGAATCAAGTTGGAAGAACTGGCATTCTGACTATACTGAGTTTTTCTATCTGTGAACATGGAATTTCTCTCCACTTATTTGTTCTTTTTTGATTCATTTTATTGGTCTTTCAGTTTCCCTCATAGATCTTGTACATATTTTGTCAGATTTATAACTAAGTATTTCATTTTGGAGAGACAATAATATTAAGATAGCATGTCTTTAATTTCAAATTCCACGTTAACCTTATATGATAAAACCCAGTTACAATCTTTTATTAGTTTTAGGAGCTTCGTGTGCTTTCCTTTTTTTGTGTGTGTGGGGGCATACTGGGGATTGAACTCAGAGGCACTCAGTCACTGAGCCACACCCCAGCCCTATTTTGTATTTTATTTAGAGACAGGGTCTCATTGAGTTGCTTATCACCTCGCTGTTCCTGATGCTGGCTTTGAACTCTTGATCCTCCTAGTGTGTCACCACACCCAGCCTCATCTGGTTTTATCTCCATTCCAGATAGAAAAAAGGAGACCATCAGACATGTCAGAAGAATAGGGTCATTACTGACAGATGCAACAGAGAAATCAGGCCCTGCTTAGAAAATGGAAGTGACATTTTGTATATTTAGAATGTAACAAAACGTGTTAATTATTACTTTTTAAAAATAAAGCAAGTAGTTATGTGGTGAATAACTACATATAATGCAGTCTCAGAAAGGTTCTTTGCCTTACCTGACCTATAATCTAGTACATCTGACTTCCTAATTCTGGCTGTGTTTCAATCCACATGTCTTTACAAGTGGAAAGCTATTTCTTAACCCAGGGCTCTCCAAACTTATCTGCTCAAGTCCCTTCAATATTATAGAAGAATGGGAGCCTACCTCAGCCACTTCATGACTTCATGTTACTTTGATTTCTTCTTTCTTTTTAAAAGTTATACTTCTGCTGCGCGACCAGCACGCTAGCTTCATACTAGAGGTTCCAAACATAGAAGTTAACTAGTGAGATCAAAATAAAGACACATAATCAATTTACCTTTTTCTTGCCCAGGTAAGAGACGGCTTCTCCCGGCTCCTGCCTCCAGCCACCTGGCGGTAGCGAGGTTTACACAAGAGACCAGCAGGAAAGAGGAAGAAGCATGCCAGAGAGTGGGCTTTTATTGGGGAACAAAAAATTCAGGGGAAAATTCCATCCAATGAAGGTAGAGGGGGACAGCATTCCAAGGTCAGGGTCAATGATTGGTTTCCAGGTCAATGGTCAGTCACACCCCCACACGGACAAGCCCTCCCACCTGGAAAGGGTGGGGAAGGCTCTGACACAGCTGGTCTGAACGCCTGACACCCAGTCAGGGAGGTAGACCAATCACGTGCAAGAACGGCTTCCCATATATACTGATTTGCACTCTTTCCAGAAAACATCTTTGATTCATAATACATATCTAAATAATACCAGATAAACTGCAAATCTTTTTCTGCATCTTAAACTTGATGCTACAGTAAGATGTAGCCAGGTGCACACGCCGATAATCCCAGTGGCTCTGGAGGCGGAAACAGGAGGATCCCAAGTTCAAAGTCAGCTTCATTAATGGCGAGGCACTATGCAATTCAGTGAGACCCTGTCTCTAAGTAAAAATACAAATTAGGGCTGGGGATGTGGCTCAGTGGCCGAATGAACTCTTACTTCCTATGTGTGAGCTTCCTTCTTTACTCTTTCTCCACCTTTGCACACTTCAGAGGGACTAGTTAGATTGGATCTTTTAAAAGGGCTAAGGTATAGCTCAGTTGGTAGAGTGCTTGCCTTGTATCTGCAAGGTCCTGGGTTCAATCCCCAGTAAAACACACACACACACACACACACACACAAAGTAACTGGGCTGGGGTCATAGTTCAGTGGTAGAGCCCTTGCCTAGCATGTGTGAAGCACTGGGTTTGATTCTTGACATCACATATAAATAAGTAAAGGTCCATTAAAAACTAAAAAAAATTTTTTTTAAATTGTAATAACCCAATATATTTTACAGATAATGTAACCGCAGTTTATTGCCGCTCACAATCACAACACACAACCACAGTTTTCCACATAGTGGCCAATAGTCAGGTAATTAAATTCATACCAAATTAGATAACATTGAACAGTTTTTTAAAAAATCACAGCTGGACAGTGATCCATTTTCATGGTCACCATGGTATGCAGACCAAGAAATGTCTACTTAAAAAAACATCTCACAGGGGCTGGGGTTGTGGTTCAGTGGTAGAGTGCTCGCCTAGCATGCATGAGGCACTGGGTTCGATCCTCAGCACCACATAAAAAATAAAGATATTGTGTCCACCTAAAACTAAAAACTAAATTAAAAAAAAACTCACAAATACTGAAGTCATCTTTGGTTACAGATATTAACAGAAAGAATCTTACAGATCTCTTCAAGTCTCTCGGTCCTAGAGACCGTCGCACAAACCCCCAGTCACTGCATTCATTCACGACCCCCGGTGTGACCTTCCACCAGCGGGACGTGATCTCTTAACCCCGAAAGAAGCCGACTCACAAGGGCGGGAGCTCAGACACTAACCATTAACGTAATTCCACACAGGGTCCCCACAGCGAATTCACCAGCTCAGGCCATGACACAGCCATCTGTTCAACCGCCAGGCACCGCGGCAGGTAATCTAAGGCACCCAGGTAATCTCGAGGTCTCCCTCAGGCCATTCCCTTGGACTTCACTCAGCCCTAAGTCCTCGGACGCCCCCATTCCCATCTCTACCTGCTCTGGACTCCAGAATGCCTTCCTCAGCCTTTGCTGGGAACATTTGGCTTCTCTCAACCACATCAAAGACCACGGAGCCGTGAGGCTCGTCCGAACCCGGAACAACTCACCGGCACGGACTCGGGACAAGGGCTCTCACAAGCCAGCCGAATTGCATGCCGGGAGCATTCCTGCCGCCCGCGCTCCAACTTCCGGGGGCGCTCAAGCTGCGGACTACATTGCCCAGAAGTCTCCGGGGCATAGAGCTTTTGGGGGCGGGGTGAGTCTCCTTGCCGAGAACAAGTTTATGATCCAATTCCCAGCCTCCGAGGGTTTCCCGGTTCTAATTTCCCATAAGCCTCCATGTCCACACTAACCTCGGTCTCAGGGTCCCTTTCCAGTGTCCATAAGGTTGTCGGACTCTGCGTGCTGAGTCGGTCGCGTCCGAGGAAGTAAATCAGCGCCGGGTGACTGGGAGGGCTCAGCGAGCAGTAGCGGAGTCGGATCTGAACTGGCAGCGAGGGTGCGGGTGACACCCGGGAGTTGCTGGAAGTAAAAAGGCCGGGACAGCTTGTTGTGTCCAGAGCCTCAAGCCTGCGTGCACGCGAGCAGCTGAACTGGATGGTGTGTGACAGACGGCGTGACAGGGCTGAAAGGTGACTCCGTGATGGTGAGTGCGACGGGATGTGATCTTATTCGAAGGTCTGGTTTACTTTGGCCACGTGCTCTAGGTTATCTTTAGGCTGTCTTTGAGCCTGTTACAGATAAATGACCACAAGAAAGTCTGAGTCCTTGAAAAGATTTCAGAAAAGAAGAATGAGACTTAGTTCTGCACGTGACCACATGACAGGCTCCTGGAAAGATATGATAGGGAAGTCCTGGAGGTAGGATCCTAAAAGAGGTGCTCCAGGAGCTCTTTAGGTACCATCTACATATATCAGAGCTGCTTGCAAGCAGACCTCTATCCTGAGAATTCCTATCAACTCAGAGATAAGACTCCAGTCTCCCTTTTAATTGTGTGGATGAAGGCAGATGTGGCTCTCGAAGTTGTTTTACTTTTTTTTTTTTTCTTTTTCAGTTTGTGCTTGGAGAAATGCTAGTGTCTTATTATGATTCCTGATTTTTGACCAGTGTTGCCAGGTTCCTAAAAAGTACTGGGGGAGGAAGAAAGATAATTTTTTGCATATTTAGAAATCAAGATTCAGATGAATTTGCATTTTCTTTCTTTTTCATATTATTACTTTTGCTTGATTAAAAGAACATTTACTTAGCTGGAAATATCTTGACTAGTATTGTCAGTCTGAGTCTCCCTTCTGGACAGTTACCCACCATGTGCATACACACAGTCCCCTGATCTTTAGCCATCTGTTTTATTAGCCATCTGTTTAACTCTTTTAGTGAATTCTAACGTTATAGAAATATACCTCCTGGAGATTCATGTTAGAGCTTTATTTTAGAATATGAGTACCATTCAAATACTGGTACCGTGTACAAACTTAAAAAAAAATCTTTTCCACAGTTATGATTTAAGGTAAGGCAAGGTAGGAGGGTTTTAAAAGAAGGCAAGATTTCAGCCAATAAGTGCCAATATTGTCTGTTTTTAGGAGTACAAACATGATTGAGCTTTGAGTACAGGGATTTACGGTTTGCACCAACAAGGGTAGGGACTTTCAAATAATCTGTAAGTAAAAATCTGTAATGTTGTCAAACATGAGTTGTTTCAGGTTCAGCTTTTGTGATTTGTGGGAGACAGTATTGTGTTGTGGGTAAGAGTAAGGGTGTGGATCCAGACTATCTGTAATCAGATCCCGGTTCTGCATGTAGTTAGCTGCATGGACTTCTGGACAATTGAGTCAGCTCTTATCTATTCACCTGTTTGGAGCATTTCTTGGAGCCCAGTTGATTATGACTGACACATCTACAAAATTCAGACAAAATAATATCTACTTTATGGGGTTGTAAGGATGTCAAATGAGTTAATATGTGTAAAGCTCTTTAGAACAGAGTCTGCCCCATGATATGAGTTTACTGAATATTGAAAGTTATGACTCTAGATCATTCTCCATCAACTTGTTATAGATCAGGAACAACAGAAATAAGAAGTTGATCATGATGAGTGCTTGCAAGTTAAAAAAGTTGCCAGAAGCTCAAATGCTCTAAGACAGGAAATCTTAGACTGAGGGTTTCTTATTCCATTGATAAGGTTCCTGGTGACCATAAACCTTTCAAAATTAAGACCAATTTTTTTCTAAGTATTTGTAAATGTGTTTTTGTAAGTGGGAAAACATGTCTATGATTTCATGAGACTGTCAAATGTGCAAAAGTATCTGGCTGCGTTGGTCTGGAACAAAGACTCTGGGAGCTAGGAAGGACCACATATAAAATTTGTGTCCTTTAATATGGAAATAGTTAAGTAAAAAGCAGTATATCTTGTGATAAAATATTATGCACCTAGCAAAAATTATGTTTATAAATAATCAGTAAGAAGGAAAAATATAAATGATATAATATTAAGTAATCATTATAATCATGAATAAAAGTACTCAAGAATATAAGTAATATTTGAATACCATTCACTAAATCAGGGTTTTAAAAGACTATCTTTAATCTACCATATCCAAAAGTTATTTTAATTAGTAATCCAGTGAAAGACAGAGGTATAGTCACATTTATTGAGCATCTATTGTGTACCAAATACTGTTCTGTTTATGTGCATGTATTTTGTTACACAGACTTTGAAGGTGGCTTACCTACTTCATTTTGACAGTGAACGTGTGTCATTGTATTGATGAGGGACAGCTACAGAAGGCTCAAGAGCTGGTAGGTATAATTTGTTTCACTGATTTTCAGTGTTAGTGCTGTTTTAGTTCCTTTAATGACTGAATACACTTCTTCTATCATTCAGTTTATTACCTTTGGAAATGTCTTTATATTTCTCATTACGGAGTAATGAAAAAAAATAATAATCCAGGAGATAGAGAGAGAAAGAAGTTAAAATTATGTCTGTAGAGTTAATCATTCTTAATATTTTATTGTATTTTTATTCAAATCTCTTTCCTATGAGCTTATGTCTGGTTTTGTTTCACAGAGTAAAATCACAGTAATTGGTGAATAAATGAGTTGAAGGCTATTTATATTTTAGCTTAAAAAAGAAATCTAACCCAGATGTGGGTTTTATTTTAACTGTATAATAAAGAGAAAGAGAGGGACGGGGGAGGAAGCATCAGTGATTCTTTTCTTATTTGAAAACCTTCAGGTACTTACAACACTTAGGATTACAGAAATACCATTTAAAAATTACCAGGCTCCTGAGTGTCTCCATGTGGTTTGGTATTTCTGTTTGGTCATTTCAGTGTAGCCTTATATTATGGAGTCAGTTTCCTTCAGAACAGGCGTTCCATTGAGAGCTCCTTAATGGGAATACAAGATGGAATACGTGATTATCTTTAATCTACTGCAATGTTTATTAAAAAGTAATAATACACCAGGCGCAGTGGTGCATACCTGTAATCCCAGCAGCTCCGGAGGCTGAGACACAAGGATCATGAGTTCAAAGTCAGCCTCAGCAAAAAGCGAGGCACTAAGCAACTCAGTGAGACCCTGTCTCTAAATAAAATACAAAACAGGGATGGGGATGTGGCTCAGTGGTCAAGTGCCCCTGAGTTCAATCCCTGGTACCTCCCACCCTTCAAAAAAGTAATAATTTGGGCTGGGGTTGTGGCTCAATGGTAGAGTGCTTGCTTAGCATGTGTAGGATGCTGGGTTCGATCCTCAGCACCATATTAAAATAAAATAAAAAAGTATTGTGTCCAATTACAACTAAAACAATATATATATATTTTTAAAAAGTAATAATTATGTGAAGAAGAAAAAATTAGTTACCAAGGCAACACAGATGTTTGGGAATTATTTTAAGGGTTACTTCCACATAGCAATAATCTCCAACATTAAGTTATTTTACAAAAATAAAATGTTTAAGGATAGATATTAATAATAGAAGGTAAGGTAAGAAGGACACAGTTGTAAATATTCAAGTAAACCCAAATTTGCATGGTAGAACAAGATTGAACCTCTGGTTAAGTTTTTACTTGACAACTACTCAGGTCATATTTTATTTTATTGTGGTGCTGGGAATTGAACCTAGGAGTAGGAGCACATGCTAGGCAAGTGCTCTATCACTGAGCCACATTCCCAGCCCCCAGGTTGTATTTCATAAGCCATCTTTTTGATCTTCTGGGAGGAAGGTATATTTCCTGAGAACTTGTTTTGCTCATATTATTATTTAGGAAAAATATATGGGCTCAAGGCTGACCTTTAAAATTGTAATAAGCATTACAAAACAAAACAAAACAAAACAACAACAACAAAAAAAACCCAGACCTGAGAAGCACACGTTTTTACAGTGGGGAAAATGGAAATAGTGGTCTAAGGTCTCTTTTTTATTATAATGGGATAAGGGCTAGTAATATCCCTCATCTTTAATAATAATGGCTAAAGCTTATATTTAAGCAATTATTATATGCAATTCAGAATTTTGTATGGATTTTATGACTTAATCTTCAATGCAGCTATCTGTGGTAGACACTGTTCTCATCCCTCATTTATTGATGAGGAAACAGAGGCACATTGATAATTGGAAATTGGTAACCATCAAGCTCAGATTCATATTCTGAGAGTGTCTGACACCAGAGCCTTTATCTTAATTTCAACATATATATGTGATCAACATTATGCTACAAAGTGGCCTACCTCAATAAGGACTTGGTCATGCATGTCTTTCTTCATCAATTAATATTAGCCAGTATCATCCTAACTAATGAGAGTATAAGGGGTCATAGTTATTAAGCCTTCAGCTTACTATTAAGATAGCTTCTAATTCTTGGGTTTCTGAAACTATTTTTGGTTGAATGACTTTGTGTATATATCCTGAGTACTTCACTGGCTATTTCTTATAGTTACATTTCTAGAAGTGGAATTGTGGGTAAAAATTTGTCCCCAATACAAGACCCTGTGATAGTAATACTTGGGAGCATAACATGCTTAGAATAAGTGTAAGACAGCCAGCAATAAAGGCCAATAGCAGTACAGGTGATCTGCCTTAGGAACTCACCAGAAGGTAACTGTAGGTAACACTGTTAGATCATAACCAACTTTATGGAGGCAAATGGAATTTTTCTGTAAGTCTTATACTTTTTTAGTTTTTAGTCTACTAATGGTAGCTGCAAATTGAATCTACTTGGATCAACCAGTTTGACATTTATCTAGAGACTGTCATGTCTAAGATAGGTTCAGATGTATAAACTGGTCTGTCAAGAAGACACAAAAGGACACAGGATCAAGATCTCATCATTCTATAACATTGCTTGGGGACCAGAAAATCAAAGATTGAATGATTTATCTCATATGTGGAAGCTAGAGAATGGGGTGGGGGGTGGGAATAAAAAAGGGGATCTCGTGCAAAGAGAAGGGTGACCAATAGAGTAGAGGAAGGGGATAGAGAGGGAGGGAGGAGGAGAGGGTGTGGGGATGCACTGGGGAACTAAATCTACCAAATTATGCTATGTCCATGTACAAATATATTACAATGAATCCAGCGTATATATATAGTGATAATGTACTAATGAAAATAATAACAATAATCATAGAAGGAGATCAGTAGAGTAGAACAAGTGGGTCAGGGAGAGGAAGGAGAGGAGGGGTAGGGAAGGTACTAGGGAAGGAGATTGAGCAAATTATGTCATGTGCTTGTATCACTGTGGCATCATGAATCCCACTATTACGTGTGACTATAATGCATCAGTAAAAATATAATAATTGTACATATTTAAAAAAATATATATATGTTTATTTTTTAGTTTTAGGTAAACATAATGTGTTTATTTTACTTTACGTGGGGCTGAGGATTGAACCCAGGGCCTTGCACATGCTAAACGAGTGCTCTACTGCTGAGCCACAGCTCCTAATAATTGTACATATTAACCATGTGATGTTTCAATACATGTACACATTATGCAATGTTTAAGCCAGATTAAACATACCTATTTTTGCAAAAAAGTGCAGATCTTTTCATGTTAGTGCCCTAGTTAAAAACAGCAACAACAAACCTTATTTGACCTCCCATTGTCTCTAGGGCAAACCTTTTTTTTTTTTTAATCAAAGGACATAGTTTATTAGATGAAAAAGATTGCTTGGGGGAATTCAGCCACTTTTCTAGGCAGAACATGGGCATATGTGTAAATCATGGAGTTAACATAGTACACAACCAGGGTTACAACAATTAAGCAGAATATCTAAACAAAAAGAATCTAATGATCACTATGAAAACATTATTAATATACAGATGTGTAACTTTCCAAATTGTTTTCATTTATTGACAACTTATTGTCTTTCTCTATTGATATATGTTTGTATTGTATAAATGTAATCATACTGTATATCCTATAACCTATTTTTTCTATTGACAGTCTATCTTGATTAGAAAAATTTATCAATTTCATATCATGAACGTTCTGTATGCCTCAAAAAGTCAACTTTTTGGCTCCTGAACAATTCCTTGTCCTTGCTGTCTAGCTCCTGAGTTTTGACTAACTTTTTTTAGTCCTGAGCCTATGAAGGAGGTTCTAGTTTGTACCAAGAGGCCCCTTCTCAGCCTGGAGGGGTGGGAATGGTGGAAGGAAGATCTGCTCTGGGCAGGACTGAGTAGCCTAATCACAGGTCCAGATTAGCATCCCTAGAACCAGGTGCTGCTGGAAACCTTCCTACTGAAGAGCCTTGGGGGCTCTTTGGGACTAGAGTTTAGGTTCCATAAATAGCATGTGGCGTGTGGGGTAGAAGTAGTCATGAAGGAGATTAAAGCTTATGGCAGCTTACGTCAGGATGGGCTCACTTAGGCACAGCTGGTCTAACTCTTCTTTTTACTTCCCCAGTTCTGGCTTTTCTGGATCCTGTGCTTCACCAATAGGGGAATCAATGGATCATTAATTAGCTCTCACAATTCTAAAACCATGACTGATGTAAGTTGGTATTTTTCTCTTCTTGAAATATTCTGATTTTTTTGGTCACATGAATTTTTCCCTTGTACCCTAAGCTTTCTACCTAACAGAACTCCAACCCTGAACCCACTTCTCAAGCCCTTTTGTTCCAGTCAAGATGGTGTTAAATAGCCCAGTGTCCACCCTCAGTGCCTCTCCCTTTTCCAATCAATGTCTTATTCATTGAATCTAATATTCAACATTTCCTGTGTGCTCAGTCATACATCTTAGATGTAATCTAACAGGATGATTTACTTGAGACTTGACAATAATCCTTAACTTAGTGGAAATCACTTTTCTGATTCAGAGATTTAGAGTACATTTGTGAGTATGCTTGAAAAGTTTTTGTGAATTTTTTTTCATATTCCTTAAAAGGAAAAGATGGCTAGCACTTCACATTTATAAGGAATTTATAGGTTGTAAGTACATGTATACACACTCAATTTTTATGTAATAGAGGAGAAACTGTGATTATTTATATATTTCCAGATAGATCTCGATAGCTGAGTTATTTTACTGCATCTAGGAAGTTTTTTTTTTTTCTGCTATAAGAGGATCATTCTAGAATATTGATGTTCTGCTTTGGTTGCCCTGGTTTTCTTATTTTTCCCTAGCTATATCATAGGCTTCCAGACTTACTTGATTGATATATTTTCCAAGTAATACGTGGGTTTTTGGTTTCAGGAATTGGTGACATTCAGGGATGTGGCCATCGATTTCTCTCAAGAGGAATGGGAGTGCCTGGACCCGGCTCAGAGGGACTTGTACATGGATGTGATGTTGGAGAACTATAGTAACTGGGTGTCACTGGGTAAGGTCAACTGCCTGAAATAATTTAGAATCTCTTCTCTGCAACATCACCTTTCTCCACAGGAAATTATAGAGCTATCTTCAAAGAACACAGATGAATTCCAAGAATGTTTCAATACTTTGTTGGGTTAGAGATGGGCTCATTAAGCACCTTGATTTCCCTATCCCTCAGTGAGCTTCATAACTTCCTCTGGCTTTCCCTGCAGTTGGCTCTCTTCTTCAATGACCAAGGGGCTTGGTTTGCATTGGAGGACATTCATTCCATACACCATGGTCAGAGAAACCAGGTCACATGCTGTGTTTACTTCCAGACTCTCTGTAGATGTGGTTCTCCCTCCTCAAAGTGTGGTTCTTTTGTTTGAGGAACCGTAAGAAAGCCAGAACAAAGTTAGTGAAGGAGAGAGGACCAAGAAATTTGTAAGGGAGATCAGTAGGAGCCAGATGATAGGGAGATGTGTTGGTTTTTTGTGAGAATTATAGATGGTTTTCTGAGCTTCAATGTCATGGTTTGGTTGGTGGGCATTAAGTTTTATCTTTTTGTTGTGAACTCCTACGCAAAAAGCATCAGCTTCTTCTGGGGCTGGTCAGAATGCAGCATGTCAGGTCCTAACCCTGACCTGCCAACAGAATCTGCCTTTACATGAGATCTGCCCAGTTATCCTACACATTCAGGTGAGAAGTGCTGCTCTTGGTTATTTTCTGACTCACATACAAGGAAAACAGCTAGAAAGAGAGACCTGATATACTTTGACTTTTGAGAGCCTCTGCACTTTATTTAGGGGCAGATTCAATGAATAGAATTCATTTAATAGTAAACACATTATTTACAAAAGATTTGAAGTTCAAAGTTCAAACCTATGAACTTTGCGTTGAACATTTTGTTAAATCCTAAAAATGTCTCATGAGATGTTTTGGTTTTCCTCTTAGCAAAATAACAATAATCATGTGCTAATATTAATAGCACTATGCTTTACTATATACCAGGCTCTGTTCTAAGCAGTATAAATACATTATTTAACCCTTATGACAGCTTCAGGTACCATCTGTCCCCATTTTTGGTTGAGAATACAGAGGCACATACATTTGAAACGACTTGCCAAGGTCACAGAGCTGGTAGAAGTCAGTGGCAGGTTCTAAGGTATATGTTCTCAACCACTGTCTATTTTCTCTAGAGGCAGAGCCTTGAATGAGTCTAAAACAAGGTCATTTTCTCTTCTCTGAAGTACTTACCAGTACTGTATTTTACCGTTGTTGTAAATTTCACTAAATTTTTTGAGCTAAGAAAATGTCTACACTATTAGGCATTTATTTTCTTGCAAGCAGACACTCTGTTCCTAAGGCAGATATGACTACATTTATTAGAGAAAGGGAAGAGCCCTGGATGGTGTGAGAGGGAGGACAAGCAGTTGGAACCCAGGAGAGGCAAGGCAAGGCAGAGGCAGGGAACATCCTCTCAGGTCACAGAGAAGAAGGAGCACCTGGTATGGGGCTTGGGAAGTTCCCTGTGAAGGACCAAGACCCATGGAGTGAAGACCTGAGACTTAGGATGAAACAGAAATCTCAGTTTGGGCTACCAAAGGAATGTCACTTCTTTTTTTCTCTTTCCACTGCAGAACCCAGGGTCTTGCATATGCTGGGCAAGTGTTATTCCACTTAGCTGCACCCCCAGCCTAGAATATCATCTTCATCCCATTTACCTGTTTTTGTTGTCTTTTCATATTTCCTGCCTATTTCAATGAGGAAAGTATTCTATTTATACTGGTGCAACCATTTTACCTGTATGTTGAATTTAGTTGTGCGCCTAAGTGAGAAGTGAAGATATGTATTCATTTATAAATTCTGCAGATATCGTATTGAGTACCCACTCTTAGCCAGGCATTGCATGGGACTCTATCAATACAGTCATGAACAGGATTGAGAACTTGCCCACTTTCATGCCATTTACCTTATAGTGGGGCAGGAACACAAATAAGTAAGCAACTAAATAAATACTATTCTGTAATTAGTCATGTTGTTCAGGAAAGGTATAAAGGAATAGAAAGCAATGGGGATACTTTTGATAAGATGTTCAGGGAAAGCTTTCTTGAATAGAGACACAGTCTGGAATAGTAAAATATTCTGTCCTATCCTGTTCAAAAATAGCTTAGATGTGTGGTAGGAGGTAGCTAAAAACATGAAAATCAGTGTCTTGAAATCTAAATTATACACAGAGGTGTGGCAAAGTTAAGTTTTTTTGAAGAAAAGAAAGGACTTTCCTCTTACAGAGAGGGACAGTTTATCCCAAGGTCGTTTTCCTTTTGCTATTAGTTCTTTTGTGTCAATTCATGCTTTTGTTGCTCTTTTCTTACATGATGACATGACATGGCATTTCTGATGCATTTAACCACACTAATATTGTCATAACATCTGAATGACAGTACTTAAAGCTTTACTTTTCCATCTTAAAATACAGTTGGCAGGGGCTGGGGTTGTGGCTCAGATGTGGAGCACTTGCCTCGAACATTTGAGCCACTGGGTTTGATCCTCAGAACCACGTAAAAATAAAAACAAATAAAATGAAAGTATTGTGTTCATCTACAACTATTTTAAAAAATACAGTTAGCAGTATTAGTGTTTTGTAAGATGATGTGTGGCATCATTGATCTTCACCATTGATGTTGATGTTTGAGTTTAGTTGAGTGAAAATGTGTTTTAAAATAGTCAAGAAATAAGTAAACTTAACTGAACTATAACTTAAAGTATTTGCTCTGTTTTATGAATAGCTTCTTAGAAACTAATTATATCCAAAAATTATTTACTGTCAAGATCATTGTCACTGAGTGTGTTAGAGAACTTATAATTTATTTATTTATGTAGTTAGTTTGTTTTTTGTGCCAGGGAATGAACCCAGGGGTGCTTAACCACTGAACCACATCCCAGTCCTTTTTGTTGTTTGAGACAGGGTCTCACTAAGTTACCCAGGGCCTTGCTAAGTTAATGAGGTTGGTTTTGAACTTGTCATATTTAGGCCTCGGCCTCCTGAGCTACTGAATAAAAAGCATGTACCACCATGCCTGGCTTTAAAATTATTTAATTAAAGTAAATATGTAGATTTGCATAATTTGCAGCATTATCTGACATTATCAGAATCAATCCTTTCATGCAAATCTGGCTTAATTTAAATAAATATAAATTTAATTGAGCATGCATTTTTGTCATTGTAAATATTTATGAAAGCAACATTAGCTTCATCTCAGAGTTTGGCAAAGAATGGTCCTGGAAGCCCAAACTACCTGTTTTTGTAATTCAAGGGGAATTGGGATATGCCATGCCTATTTATGTTTATATAACATCTGTGGCTGCTTTCTTGGTAAGAGGGTAGAGTTGAGTAGTTGGGACTGTATGGTCTTTTACAGAAAAAGTTTGCCAAACTACTTATCTAATGAGTACGACATATACAGAAAAATCTACATAGCACATAAACTTTTTTTTTAATAATAGAACTCTTACACCTTGATATTGTGATAGGCTTTTTTCATTCTGATAATATTCTTGGATTCTCTCTTTTTTTTTTTTTTTTTAGAGAGAGAGAGAGAGAATTTTTTTAATATTTATTTTTTAGTTTTCGGCAGACACAACATCTTTGTTAGTATGTGGTGCTGAGGATGGAACCCGGGCCGCACACATGCCAGGCGAGCGCGCTACTGCTTGAGCCACATCCCCAGCCCTAGCACATAAACTTTTGAAGTTGTTTTACAAACTTTAAAAACCTAATAGCAATGCTTTTTTTTTTTTTTTTATCTTATAAACAGAGCTATTACTTTAACTGGGAATCAAACCCTTTTTCCTTAGATATAGCTCTAGCAAGCATCAAAGATTTTCTTAAAGATCTATAACACTTTAAACACTGGGAGTCAGTTTTTTCTGTCTTAAAAAATTGTTTCAAGTTGGGCCATGGCCCCAGCACCTGGTCCAGAAAGAGGGCCTAGGACACATCTCTGTCCCTTCTGCTACCCTGTGCTCCCTGCCATTCCTCTGTTATCTGCTCAGCTGCAGGCACCACTGGGGACTACATAGGTAAAGTATCGCAAGTAAGGGCACAGGTGTGGACACCTCCCACCAGACTCACTAGGAAGAGGCCAACAGCACCTGTTATATCTGGCTTTTCCCCAAGGCCATTATATCAACAGTAGGGGATTGGGAAGGGCAGACATGAACCCTGGGAACACTCTAGTGTACTGGGGAGAAAGAAGGGCTCAAGCTTGAGGCCCAAATCTTTTGTGTCCCTGTGTCTTTCTCAGTCTCCGTTGTGTCTAGGAGATGGTGAGCTGGTTGGGTGCCAGTGGATCCCAGCCAGATTACCTGAGGATTGTCTTCCCACCCACCTTCCATCATGACTGGGTTCTGATGATTGCCCTACCTGAGGGTTCACAATCCCAGTTTTGCAGAATGAAAATCAATCATATTGATACAATGGCAATAAATAAATTATAAAAATTAAAAATAAATAAAATAAAATAATTATTGAATTATATTTTTAAAAGTTTATTTAAGCACTTGTTAGTCTCTATAAATGTAGCTCCTTAGATTTTAAAAATTTAAAAAATTTTCTCCTTTGTATTCTAGAGCTATATGGAATTGAAGAAGCATGTTAAAATTTAAAATCTGCTAAAAATGGCTACTGTAGTTCTAAATTATCCTGAATGAAAGGCTGCCACTTTGTTGGATATGCCTGGGAGTTAAGAAAAATAGTGCATATACATATAAAATGATGAATGCTCTAAAGTTGTTGTTTTGTGCTTGCAGATATTTCATTTAAATCAGAGCATATACAAAGGCATTATTTCTTTGAGGAGATACCAGTGATGTAAAGACTGATGAAGAGGGCTGGGGTTGTGGCTCGGTGGTAGAGCACTCGCCTAGCATGTGCGAGGCCCTGGGTTCGATCCTCAGCACCACATAAAAATAAATAAATAAAGTAAACAAACAAATAAATAAATAAATGGTATTGTGTCCAACTACCAAAAAAAAAAAAAAAAAAGACTGATGAAGAACATTTTGCCAACTATATGGTCAGGGCAGTCTAGCAGTGTGGTAAATCACTATGAATCTACATGGTGATCAAATTCTTACTATTAGGAACTTCAGCTGATTATGTTTTGTATAACCTGGTCAAAGTTTTCAGTAACATCTAGATTGTTTTTTTTTCCTCTTGCCAAAATCTCCTGAAAGACTTTATTCACTCCAGAGTTTGTTGCCTGAATTTCCAAACCTGATATACTGTTTGATTATTTGTGTGCAATTTATTAGGAGATAAGGAATGATCTCTACTTTCTAATTGGCTTATGTGCATACTGGGTCATAGAGCCCAATGTAGCTGATTCACAGGAAATTATTGTGTCACTTTCTATACCTTATACTTGGCACGAGTCATTGACTGTGGATTTTGGTGTCTGTAATCAAAATTTGAGCCACACCCTATTCCATGGCAAGATCACAATTCATGCCTAGCAAGGGACATTGGATAACCACACCCAGGAACATAAGGGCTTGACTGATGGAAGCTCACATTTTGGTTTAAGAGACTATCTGCATGGCTTCTCAATGTGATCTCTGAATTCTCCCCAAAACTATCAGATCATTAAGATCACAAGAGCTGAAAAATAAAAATAATTTGTTTAAAAAGGGATAACCTTGATTCTCAGGAGTAAGTTCAGTAAGTCTCCTAATCCAGTTTACTTATGGAAAGTATTATCTTAGATCCCTCCCAAATCCCCTTCTGCACTATAGAAGTTTTTGTTTTTCTGGTAAAGGAAATAAGGAGATGTGTTTTTTTTTTTTTTTTTCCTTTCAGATTTGGACTCAACATATGAGACCAAAAATATATTTTCAGAAAAGGACATTTTTGAAATAAAATTTTCCCGCTGGGATACAAAGGAAGAAAGTAAAACCCTGGGCCTTGAGGCATCCATTTTCAGAAATAATTGGAAGTGCAAAAACAAATTTGAAGGACTACAGAAACATCAAGGGGGATACTTAAGTCAAATGATTATCAGCTATGAAAAAATACTCACATACAGAAAAAATAAATCTCTTATTCAACAGGAAAGAATTCATGATAGAGAGAAACCGTGTGTTTGTAAGGAATGTGGAAAGACTTATAGTCATGGCTCAAAACTTGTTCAACATGAGAGAACTCATATAACTGAAAAACGCTTTGAATGTAAAAAATGCAGGAAAAACTTTTTTAGTGCCTATCAACTGAGTGTGCATCAGAGATTTCATACTGGTGAGAAACCCTATGAATGTAAAGAATGTGGCAAGACCTTCAGTTGGGGATCCAGCCTTGTTAAACATGAGAGAATCCATACTGGGGAGAAGCCCTATGAATGTAAAGAATGTGGGAAAGCCTTCAGTCGTGGCTATCACCTTACTCAACATCAGAAAATTCATATTGGTGTGAAGTCTTATGAATGTAAGGAGTGTGGGAAGGCGTTTTTTTGGGGTTCAAGCCTTGCTAAACATGAGATAATTCATACAGGTGAGAAACCTTATAAATGTAAAGAATGTGGGAAGGCCTTCAGCCGTGGCTATCAACTAACTCAGCATCAGAAAATCCATACTGGTAAGAAACCTTATGAATGCAATGTTTGTGGAAAGGCTTTTTGTTGGGGTTATCAGCTCACTCGACATCAAATATTTCACACTGGTAAGAAACCCTACCAATGTAATGAATGTGGGAAGACCTTTAATTGTGGATCAAGTCTTGTTCAACATGAGAGAATCCATACAGGTGAGAAGCCTTATGAATGCAAAGAATGTGGGAAAACCTTCAGTCGTGGTTATCGTCTTACTCAACATCAGAAGATCCATACTGGTGAGAAACCTTTCAAATGTAAGGAATGTGGAAAGGCCTTTAGTTGGGGTTCAAGTCTTGTTAAACACGAGAGAGTCCATACTGGTGAGAAATCCTATGTATGTAGAGAATGTGGGAAAGCCTTTGGTAGCAGGTATCAGCTTACTCAACATCAGATATTTCATACTGGCAAGAAGCTCTACCACTGTAAGGAATGTGGGAAGACCTTTAACTGTGGATCAAGTCTTGTTCAACATGAGAGAATTCATACTGGTGAGAAGCCTTATCAGTGCAAAGAATGTGGGAAAGCCTTCAGTCGTGGCTATCATCTTACTCAACATCAGAGGACCCATACTGGTGAGAAACCTTTCAAATGTAAGCAATGTGGAAAGGCCTTTAGCTGGGGTTCAAGTCTTGTTAAACATGAGAGAGTCCATACTGGTGAGAAATCCTATGAATGTAAAGAATGTGGGAAAGCCTTTGGTAGTGGCTATCAACTTCAGGTTCATCAGCAATTTCATTCCAGTGAGAAACTTTATCAACATGAGGAATTTGGGGAGACCTTTACTCATAGTGCAAACTTGGATCAACTTGAGAGAACTCATGGTAACAACAAACCCTGTAGATATAAAGATGTGGGGAGGCCTTTATGTGGACAACTTGCTCAGACAAGAAAATTGATCCTGGAGAAACCTTGTAATTGAAAAGATATGAGAGAACTTGTTAAACATGTTCAAGTCTTGTTAAACACGAGAGAGTCCATACTGGTGAGAAATCCTATGTATGTAGAGAATGTGGGAAAGCCTTTGGTAGCGGGTTTCAGCTTACTCAATATCAGATATTTCATACTGGACAGCTTAACATGAGCAGAAAGCTTACTCCAAAGAAACCATATGAAAGAAACCATACGAATGTATGCCAGGCAATGGTGGCACATGCCTGTAATCCCAACTACTCAGGAGGCTGAGGCAGGAAGAACTCAAATTGAAGGCCAGCCTGGGTAATTTGGTAAGACCCTACCTCAAACTAAAAAATAAAAAGGACTGGGGTTGTAGCTCAGTGGTAGAGCACCCCTGGGTTCATTCAATTGTTTGAATGATATAGCAGGAAAAAAGAAAAAGAAACTCTGTGAATGTAAGGAATATGAAAAAGCTTTTCCTTATGTGTATAGACAGTTTACTTGTCATCAGCAGATACATATTAGTGAGAAATATTTTGAATATAAGGAATATGAAAAGACATTTAGATTTTTGTGTGATCTTAATGAACATCAATTTATATTGATGTGAAACCATTTCCATGTAAGACGTGAAGATCTTTATTCATGGCACAAAGTCTAGTCAACATCAGAGAGTTAAACAAGTTAGAAGCTGGACGAGGTGGTGCATGCCTGTAATCCTAGTGGATTGGGAGGCTGAGGCAGAAGGAACACAAGTTCAAAGCCAGCCTCAGCAAAAGCAAGATGTTAAGCCACTCAGTGAGACCCTGTCTGTAAATACTAAATATGGCTGGGGATGTGGCTCAGTGGTCAAATGCCCCTGAGTTCAATTTCAGGTACAAAAAAAAAAAAAAAATGTTAGAAATACTTTAAAATGGTAAGGAATCTGGGAAGGATCTGAATTTAATTCAGTTCTTGCTTTCAGAGAATTCATACTGCTATGAAATATACTGTATGTCTGTAAGAAATCTGGGAAGGCATATAGACATGGTTAATATTATAGAACACATCAGAAACTTCATCCAAATGAGAAACTCTTTGAATTAAAACTGTAGGAAGGGTATCACTTGTTCACTCACCACCTAGTATTCTACACATCTGCAATTTCAATAATTACGTTTGACACAAAGTAAAAACTTGAGTGTTATAATAGGATCCATCCTTCCTGATCAGTTAGTAGTCTACCCCCACCCACACCATTCCCAAGGTACATATTTGTATGTTAACCAGAAGATGTGGAGATGATGTCTTATAGCACTGAAATGATGTCTCAAGAATGCTTACTAATACTTGACAAAGAAGGGATATTCTTTCGCTAAAGAGGCTTATGAAGTAGCATCTACAAAAACTCTTTAGGAAAAATTAAAAGAACCTCATCAGCTTAAAAAAGAACTGGTGAGTATTCTGGTAAAGAAAATTGTTCAAGTTTTTTTTTTTTTTTTTTAGTTTTAGGTGGACACAATATCTTTATTTTATTTTTATGTGGTGCTGAGAATTGAACCCAGTGCCTCACGCATGCCAGGAGAGCACACTACCACTTGAGCCACATCCCCAGCCCCTCAAGTTTGTTTAAACTGGTGTATTCCAAACTTAACCATGGAAATACTGATTCTTATTAACTACATCAGGAAATGCTATCATAACCAAAATAGGCTCTTAAAGTTAGAAATTTCAGCCACCAAGTCTAGATGTTAGCTTTGATGGACTGGCATCCTCATGCTTTCAAAATGGCTGCCTTCTGCTAATGTTTTCTCTTATTTGTGAATAAAAATGTTTCTTACAGGGGCTGGGGTTGTGGCTCAGCAGTAGAGCATTGGCTTAGCACGTGTGAGGCCCTGGGTTCGATCCTCAGCACCACATAAAAATAAATAAAACAAAGGTATTGTGTCCAATTACAACTAAAAAATACTTTAAAAAAAATGTTTCTTACATCTAGGTAGGATTGGCTCCTGAGTTTTATCAAAAGCCATTTCATCTCTTTCTGCACTTGTGTAATATTTGTTAATCTGATAAGTTATAATGACATTATTTAACTCTTTCCTCATTCCTGCATATACCCAGACTAGTCATTGTACATTATTCTGATGCATTACTTGATTTCATTTGCTTGTATTTTACTTAGGATTTTGTATCTCACAGTGAGGTTGCATTAATAGTTTTCATTTTTTGTTGCCTTTTTTTTTTGTTTGATTTGGAATTGCAATTACCTGTTCTTTAAATTATATGATCATTGGGTTGTTTTCTTTTGAAAAAGAGAGTCTTAATCTCTTGTCTAGTTTCATTTGTTGCCTTTTTTTTTGAGTACCCAACACAATTCCTTGTCGGAGGCTTCCTAGAGATGTAGTACCAGCTAAGACCCACATAAAAGAAGCATCCTGATGTGGCCTCTCATGGAAAAATCCTTCATTATATGATCTTGAGAATACTAGATTGGGAAGTCAGAGCTCCTTATGGGTCTGTATGATCACCCGTGCATGTGTTCTTTGGAGCACATAAAGAAACATTTCATATATATATATATAATTTTAGATGTTGAGAGACCTTTATTTTGTTCATTTATTTATATGTGGTGTTGAGAATTGAGCCCAGTGCCTTATGCATACTACGCAAGTAGGCAAGTGATCTACCACTGAGCCACAACTCCAACCCAAGGAAACATTTCTTGCTATGAAGATTGGGAGTGGGATTTCTGGGATTGGGTTGTGCATATCCCTGTGTTGAACTTTAGTAGTTGAGTCCTACCAAAGTTTAAATCCTTCTAAACAGATTTCCAAACAAATGTGCTGACTGACACCTATGACCAGAACTGTGTGAATATTCTTATTTTGCCACATCTGGTGAGTACTTGACATCATCAATTTAAAGAAATTTTTTTTTCTATATAGTCTGGTTGGAATATAGTGGAATCTCATAGTGATAACTGGTTTAAATTTGTATTTTTCTGATTTTTCATTGACTGTTCTACTGTTCTTGCAATCTTTCTCCATTCTTTGCTCTAGCATTATCTAGTATCATGTAACATCTGTAAAATCTGTAGAACAACACTTAACATTTAGGTCGTGTGTGTATGTGTGTGTTTGTGTGTGTGTTTGTGTGTGTGTTTTCATCTCCTATTAGTGAATTGGTTTTGATTGCTGTGGTGGAATCAGCCTTATATTTCCATCTCTATCTCCTAGTATGAACTACGACGCTATTTGTTTGAGTTAGTTAGGATACACTCAATAGAAATTAAAATATCAGTGACTAGAGCAATGAGAAAGTACCTTGAATCATATAACAAGTTTTTAGAAGGTCATTAAGCTCCAGAGATTTTTTTGGTTTGTAGAAAGTTCAGAGTCAGCCTCAGTAACTTAGTGAGGCCCTAAGCAACTTAGTGAGACCTTGTCTCAAGAAATTAAAAATCTGCTCACCTCCACCCTTCAGTCTGGACTCACTGTCTGACCAGCTGAGGCAAACCTGACCTTCACTAACCAGGGCTGTCTTTTGCTCTTAGCTTCGTGGGACCTCTGCTTTCCCATTTGGTAGGAGAAAGTGATCATTTTAAGAAAAAGCCCAGCTCTTGAAGTAAACACCTGATGTCTAAGTGATACAACAACCATGGACTATAGATTCTATCATCTGCCAGGAATTGTTTTGAGAACTGAGTATACAGTAGGAGTATATTTTAATTTGTGGGCCATAGTGTCTCTGTTACAACTACATAACTCTGTGGTTACAGCATGAAAGAAGCCATAATATATAAATGATAGAGAATGGCTGTGTTTCAGTGAGACTTTATGGGTAAAGACATTTGAATCTTGTAATTCCCAACTGTCACAATATGTCATTTGTCCTTTGATGTTTTTCAACCATTTAGGAGGCAAAACTATTGTTATTCTTAGCTCATTTGTCTGAAGCATTCAAAAACAGGAAGTGGGCTGAGTTTGGTACCATGGGTCTTATAGAAGAATAACCAGAGTCAAAATTCTTGCTGTAGTGGATATTTTATTTGACTGACAGATACGGAATAGAATAATCCAAGTATAAATAAAACTAAAAATCAAACATTGTGAAAAATGATCACATGAAAAAGGAAAGCCTGTTTTGAGATGGGTAATCATGCTTTAAATATGCAAGGGAAATGAAAAATTAAGCTGAAATTTGCAGAATGAGAATTAACATGTAAGGCAAAGACAGCAGAAGAGAATTCCTGAGAAAAGGCTTAGACTTTGAGAGGTACTGAGATCTCAGAGGTACTGGAGTATTTTTTCTGGGTAGGTACCTCATGTCTCTGTGGAGAAAGTTCTGATCATTTTGAATGAAACCTCTCCTCTAAGTCCACTCAGGCAGTTCCTGTGGGCCACTTAGAGCAGACAGCATATACACTGTGGCATGTGGAGGCCTGTATGACCGTTTCCTTCTTTTCCTCTTATATTGTCTGGGTTCTCCCAAGAAACAGAAAATAATGTGATATAATTGGCTCACATGATTGTGAAGACTGAGACCTGTCTGAGATCCTCCTGCCTCAGCCTCTTTCATCTCTGGGATTAGAGGCGTGCACCACCACATCCATCTTTTTATAACATTCCCATTTATTAGTCACAAGCTCAGGTATGTTTCCATGTTCACCTTCATAATTTTTTCTTAAATTTCCACCTACATCCTTTGCTCATTATTTTTCACAGTTGTGTATCCATCTATACATTAACATATATTCTCAGATAAATTTGTCAGTTATTTATGATTTCTATTTGGATGTCAGGTACTCACATTAAAGATTAAAATCATTTTCATTTGTTTTTATACTTTGGTACTGCATAATTCCTTCGTTATTTTTGTTGAGATAGAACATGTAACATAATATTTACCATTCCAACCATTTTAAGTGTATAATTGACACTAAATATTCACATTGTTGTGCAGCCACCAATACTGTCCATGCCAGAACTTTCTTATCATCCCAAATTGAAACTATTAATAATCCCCTTTCACCCTCTCCTCCACCTCAATCTCCTGTTATTCTTTCTGAGTAAAAATTTGATTTTTCTAGGTAGCTCATATTAGTGGAGTCATACAGTATTTATCAATTTGTGTCTGGGTTACTTCACTGAGAATAGTGTTTTCATGGTTTATCTATGTTATACCATATATCAAATTTATGTTCATTTTAAAAAGGCCAAATAACATTCTGTTGTATGTACATACCATATTTTGTTTATCCACTCACTTACTTATGGGTACTTGGGTTATTTAATGCTGCTATAAACACTGTGTACAATTATCTTTATGAGTCCCTGATTCCAGTTCTTTTAAAAAATTATTTTATTTATTTTATACAGGGGATTGAACGCAGGAGCGTTTATAACCAAAATAAGGCTTTAAACTTAGAAATTTCAGCCACCAAGTCTAGATGTTAGCTTTGATAGAATGGCATCCTCATGCTTTCAAAATGGTTGCCTTCTGCTAATGTTTTTTCTTATTTTTGAATAAAAATGTTTCTTACAGGGGCTGGGGTTATGGCTCAGCAGTAGAGTGTGCTTGCCTAGCACGTGTGAGGCCCTGGGTTTGATCCTCAGCACCACATAAAAATATCTAAATAAAACAAAGACACAACATCTTTATTTTATTTATTTATTTTTAATATTTACTTTTTAGTTGTAGTTGGACACAATACCTTTATTCTTATTTATTTATATGTGGTGCTGAGGATCAAACCCAGGGCCTCGCACGTGCAAGGCGAGCGCTCTACCTCTGAGCCACAACCCCAGCCCCCCCAACTCTTTTATTTATTTAGAGACAGGGTCTCACTAAGTTGCTTAGGATCTTACTAGATTACTGAGCTGGCTTTGAACTTGCGATCCTCACTAGATTACTGAGGCTGGCTCTGAACTTTTGATCCTTCTACTTCAGTTTTCCAAGTTGCTGGGATTACAGGCGTGAGCCACTGCACACAGCCAATTCCAATACTTTTTGGTATGTATGTAAAAGCAGAATTGATGGATCATAAGGTAATTCTATGTTTACATTTCTGAGGAACCAATTATTGTTTTCTACAGGAACTGCATCTTTTTAGTTTTGCACCATCAATATATAACGGTTGCAATTTTTCCATATCATCTCCAATATTTGTTGTATTCCTTTTCTATTTTTAAGAAATAACCATCCTACTCTATAGTCCCCCCGCCCCCCCAGTACTGGGGATTGAATCCAGGGCCACTCTACCACTAAGTGTCATCCCCACTCTTTAAAAAAAAATTTTATTTTTTGAGATAGGATTTCACTAAGTTGCTAAGGTTGGCCTCAAGCCTTCTGGGATTATAGGTGTATGCCAGCACAGAGCCGGCTCACTGTTTTTCATTTGTATTTCCTTAATGATTGATTTTGAGCACTTTTTCAGTGTGCTCATTGGTCACCTGTATAACTTTGGAGAAATCCAATGCTGGATTTTTAAAAAAAATATTTATTTTTTAGTTGTGTTTGGATACAGTGCCTTTATTTTCCTTATTTATTTTTATGTGGTGCTAAGGATCGAACCCAGGGCCTCGCACATGCTAGGCAAATGCTCTACTGCTGAGCCCCAGCCCCAATTTGCTGGATTTTTTTGAGATTTTGTTATTGTTGTTGAGCTGTAAGAGTTCTTTACATATTTTGGATATTAACTCTTGTCAGATATAAAAATTTCAAATATTGCTCTTATCATTTAGTTTGCCTTTTCACTATGTTTATCATTTTTTTATTATACAAGTTTTAAGTTTTTTTTTTTTTAGAGAGAGGGGAGAGAGAGAGAGAATTTTTTTTTAATATTTATTTTTTAGTTATTGGCGGACATCTTTGTTTGTATGTGGTGCTGAGGATCGAATCCGGGCCGCACGCATGCCAGACAAGCACGCTACCGCTTGAGCCACATCCCCAGTCCCTATTATACAAGTTTTAAATTTTGATGAAATATATTTTTTCTTTTGTTGACTCTTTTGTGACATGCCAAGAAATCAATGTCAAATCCAATGTAATGAAGCTTTCCATGTTTCCTTCTAAGAGTTTTACATTTAGCTCTTTGATCCATTTGAAATTAAATTTTACACATTGTGTTTGGTAGGTAATCCAGTTTCCTCTTTTTGTAAGTGCCAGGTTTGCAGAAAAAAAACTTGTGAATCCTGTGCCTGGTCTAGGGGATGGAACAGAGAGCACTTGTCATGTTAATCTCCAAGCCCCCCTGCCGCTCCCCCAGTATAAAGTTCAAAGAATTTCCAAAATCCTTGCTCAGAAGAAGAATTCTTGGGCGTGAGCCACCTGTGAACCCTGCAGTCAATAAATCTGCTTCCTGAAAGTACCTCTGGTACCCAGCCTCTTCTGTCCTACTTCATTACAGGACATTATGGAGTTACTGTTAATTGTTTTAGGTATCAATAGTTTAGTGGTCATACAGCAAATTATCTAGAATCCTAGGACTTGTATATAGTTTTTTTGCTTTGTTGTGCTGTGCTGGGCCTCATATCCTGGGTCTCACACATACAGGCAAGCTCTACCACTGATTACACTCCCAACTCCATATGTCATCTTTTTAGAGGTGAAGTGATACCCAAAACATTCACTTAGAAAACAGCAAAACAATATGTGTAGTATATAGGACAAAGTATGTATGTTGTTGTGGTTTACATAGGGGGTGACCCCCTCCCCAAAGCTCCTGTGTTAATGTAGAACAGTCAGAGATAATTATGAGAGCTATAACCTAACCAGTCCATCCTAGTTTGAATGGACTAAATGGGTGGTAACTGTAGGCAGGAGGGATACAGTTAGAGGAAGTGGGTCAGTGGGGGTGTGCCCTGGAAGGGCTGCCTTCCCTGTGACCTGCTCTCCTCTCTGCTTCCCGGCCATGATGAATGGAGCTGCACTCCTCCACCATGCCTTCTTCCATGATGTTTTTGCTTTACCTGGGCTTACAGCAATGGTGTTAGCCCACTGCAGACCAAACCTCTGAACCTTGAGTCAGAATAAACTTTTCTTCTTTAAGTTTTCCTTGTCAGGTATTTTGGTCACAGCAACAAAAACCTGACTACACATATGCCTATGAATACAAACAAGAGACATGCACATCCATATGGATTCATGTGTGTATATAACACATGTAAATACATATGAAAGACATATCAGGTATACTGCCACTAGGTGGAGAGTAAACAAGCCTTCATCACCCACTGAAAAGTTACCTCTTCTATAAATATTTAAGTCTGAAACTTGCATAAAATTGGAAAAAACTTTTCCAACTCAATATGTGTTTTTTGGTCACCCAACTGTTCATTTTTTATTTCTTCATACTGTAGCAATATGGCTTGCATTTTATCTGCTACAGAATTTATTACAAAAGAATTTCTTCAAATCACCCTCTGATTTTTCACCAGTTATACTCTCAAGATTTAATAAAGACAGGATATTTCCTTTGGGCATTCTTTAAGTGGATAAATTCGAAATAAGATTTCTTATATAACACATTCTTAAGGATTTTTTCCAGAATGAATGAGGTGAAATGATGATAGAAAGTTTTTTAAAATATCATACTCTGGTATCTTTCTTACTCATGAATTTATTTTTAATAATATTAATCATGGACATAAAAGAATATATTAAGTAAATACTAAGGTGCCAGAAATCCTTCCAAGGATTTTTATTTCATAACTTGTGTTATCTTTACCATGATGATATCATCGGGAGGTGGAACAGTGATAACAATAAAGGTTGTGCTACGGCTCAAGGCTTTCCTCTTTTCTCACTTCTGTGAAAACTCTGATGTTGAGCAAGTAGATAGCGACGACCAAAGGTCTTCCCACACTCTTTACAATCATAAAGGTTCTCACCACTATGAATTCTTTTATGGTTATGAAGGCTTGAGCCCCTGCTAAAGGTCTTCCCACACTCCTTACAATCATAGAAGTTCTTACCACTATGGATTCTTTTGTGGTTACGAAGGCTTGAGACCCTCTTAAAGGCCTTCCCACACTCCGTACAATCATAGAGGTTCTTTCCACTGTGAATTCTTTTATGGTTCCGTAGGCTAGAGCCCCTGCTAAAGGCCTTTCCACATTCCACACATTCATGAGGTTTCTCACCAGTGTGGCTTCTTTGATGTTCAATCAGTAGATAGTTGCGAATAAAGGCCTTTCCACATTGTTTACATTTATATGGTTTCTCACCAGAATGAATTTTCCTATGTTGGATAAGACCCGAACAACGACCAAAGGCCTTCCCACATTCTGTGCAGATGTAGGACTTCACACCATGATGACTTTTCTGATGCAGACACATATGTCGGTACAACCTAAAGCTCTCTCCACAATCCTTACATTCATAGGGTTTCAAACCAATATGAATTCTCTGATGTTCAACAAGGTGAGACTGACGTTTAAAAGCCTTTCCACACCGCACACATTCATAGGGCTTCACACTAGTATGAATCATCTGATGTCGGATCAGTTCTGAAGAAAACCTAAACGCCTTCTCACATCTATTACATTCATAGGGTTTAGGATTAGTGTGAAATTTTCGATGTTTAATAAAATTCCGGAGAATTACAAAGGCCTTTCCACATTCCTTACACACATAGGCACTCGCCCCAGTATGTTCTCTCAGATGTTCAGTAAGTTGTGAAGATTTTCTAAAGCATTTCCTGCATTTCTGACATTTATATGATTTGTTTACAGCATGAGTTCTCTGGTGGAAAGGAAGGGATACAAGTTTTCTGATTATCATTTGACATTCCACTTTAGTTCCCTGCTGTCTCCCAAATTCAATTCTCCATGGTGGCTCATTACTGAAAATAAACCCCATCAGGTTGAAGGTTTTATTTCTTTTCAATGTCTCCTTATGGTGTGAATTTATTTCACAAATGTTTTTTTCTGAAGACAGCTTGTTGGTCTCAGTTGAGAAATCAAAGTCTAAAAGAAAATGAGAAAAACAAATGCCATTTTTCCTATGGGGGAGGACAGGGAGGGGCTTTTTATATTAACAACAAGAACCGAAAGGTTGCCGGTGTGCAGTGGTTTGGGAGGCTGAGGCGGGAGGATTATGAGTTCAAAGCCAGCCTCAGCAAAAGTGAGGCTCTAAGCAACTCAGTGAGACCCTGTCTCTAAATAAAACACAAAATAGGGCTGGGGATGAGGCTCAGTAGTTGAGTGCCCATGAATTCAATCTGCAGTACCAAAACAAAACAAAACAAAATAAACCTGAAAAGATTATCCTTTAGAAACAAAGGATAGGGCTGGGGTTGTGGCTCAGTGGTAGAGTGCTCACCTGGTGCATGCAAGGCCCTGGGTTTGATTCTCAGCACCACATAAAAAAAAATAAATAAAAATAAAGGCATTGTGTACAACTAAAATAAAGAAATATTTAAAACAACAACAACAACAACAAAAGGATAAGGAAATTCTAAAATACAGCCATGATATTTTTAAAAGGCAAGAAGGGCTTGGAAGCTGGGTGTAGTGGCACATGCCTCTAATTCCAGCTGCTCGGGAGGCTAAGCAGGAGGATCATGAGTTCAAAGCCAGCTTCAGCAATTTAGCGACACCCTGTCTCTAAATAAAATACAAAAAAGGGCTGGGGGTGTGGTTCAGTGGTTAAGCACCACTGCGTTCAATCCCTGGCACCAAAAAAAAAAAAAAGGGCTTGGAAAGTTATAAAAGTTTACATTAGGATGTAAGGCATGAGAAGGCAAACAGAAAAAGTCAGTAGTTCTCATATTTAGTTATGAACCAGAATTACTGAGGCTTACACTACCTTTTAGGTATCTACTAGACAAGTCAATCAGAATGTACAGAAGTAGAGCTGTTCATCTGCATTTCTGACACCATTTACCAGATATTTCTCTATATCACTTTTCCACATGATTTATCTTGATTTTAGAATGAAACCCAAATATATAATGATAATAAAAGGCTCTGCCTTATCTCCATTACCTGGGAGTGTCCCATCACCCACAGGGGCTCTACATTTCAGGACTTTTATGACACTCTGGGCCTAAATCTTCTAATTTGTGAGAATATATAGATGATTGATTCAGATTCTTTAGAACTGTGATACTTTTGAGGTTTTCTTTTTATTTTTTCCTTGAGTGATTCTTATAGATTAAAATCTACTAATAATGATTTCATTGATTTGTCAAAATTTTTGGAATAATGTTTTTCAAAATATCATATTTTTGCCTGGCATGGTGGCACATGCCCCAAATTACAGCAACTCAGGAGGCTAAGGAAGGAGGATCATAAGTTCAAGGCCAGCCTCAGCAATTTAGTGAGGCCCTAAGCAACTCAGACCCTGTCTCAAAATAAAATAAAAATTAAATCAAATTAAAAAGGGCTGGGGATCTGGCTCAGTGTTTAGCTCCCCTGGGTTCAATCCCTGGAACCCCCCCGCCCCCCTAAAAAAGCCCTCAACAAAACAAGGAAGGAATTCAACAGGTAAATGGAAAATATAAAAATCAAACTGAATTTCTAAACTGAAAAAGACAGTATCTGATACAAATATATATATATATATATATATATATATATATATATATATATATGCTCTTTTAAGAGCAGACTCATTTCAATAGAAGACAAAAAAGTAAGCTAGAATACAAGTCAACAGAAAATACTCAAATTCCAGCACAGAGAAAAATGGAAGAGCAAAAGAAGGTAGTGATAGAATTGCAAGATCTGTTCAAAAGGTCTAGCATGGGTATAGTAACATTTCTAGAGGAGAGGAGAGGATGGCCAAGTATTTTCCAAAATCAGGACAAAGACTTCTACCTCTGGGTAGAATCTATCAGATCGCTGCAAGTCAATATTCCCACTGCTCTAACAACAAAAAATAACAGAAAGAAAATGATCTTGAGTCATTCTTCTACAATGAAAATCAGAGGCTCTTTTGTAGTAAAGAAGAAAACCAAGATCCTGTAATATCTGTTCTCTGTGTTGGAGGATCAGCAATTACAACAGAATATTTACAAACATTCAGAGCACACACATAATATGAAATTCATTTAGAAAAAATTCAGTTACAGCATAGGGCAGAGGAAGGCAGAAAGGCATGTGAATAGGGAAGATTGAGGCACAAAATGAAGGTTCCTGTTTCTAAATAACAAATTTCAAATCAATATTTTGAGAACATGGAGCAGAAATTTAGCTGATTTCCTGGCATATAATATATACAATAATCAATATATAGTAGAGAAAGCCGATACTCCAGAGAGCAAATTCTTACCCAAAGAGACCAAGTTGATATAATTCTCCACCATCACATCTCTGTATAAATCCCTCTGATCTGAGTTTAAACATTCCCACTCCTCCTGAGAGAAGTCTATGGCAACATCACTGAAAGTCAGTGGTACCTGAAATGATAAACCCATATATTAGTTTCAAAAGAAAACTTTTCCCAGATGAAATACATAAAGAGGCAATAAATATATAAAAAAGAAGAGTTTGAAGTTATGAGATCATTACATGGTTAAATGAGAGTAAATAACTTATCTTATGTGGAATCCTACATAATCTTATTCCTTTTGAACCACAAAAAATTACTTCGACAACATGGAAAAAGTATTTAAATATATGAAAATGAATAAAGTAATCAGACTTTCCAAATTAAATTAAATGGTATATATTAGGACATTACACAAGCCACCAACTAATAGTCTGTACAAGTTCTTCATGGAATATGTAAAAAGAATTGATACAATTCACCCCCTCAAAACATTATGAAATCTCTCCTACTCTGATGGAATAATAGAGATTCAATTTGCCATTCTACATGAAATAAATGAAAAACTGGATAAAATATGCGAAACATGGTTTCAACACAGAAAACACTGGATAATAGCAAACTATCATCTCTGAAATAACAAATGAGGTGTGACCTACAACTGATATAGCTCACTGTAAGAAGACAGTTTCTAGACTGTGGCACAGGAAGGGGGAACCGAAGTAAAACCCAGTGGACTTCCTGAGTATTATCCTCATAGCCAAACCAGATAAAAATACTATAAGAAAATTACAAGTTTCATATCCCTCATGAACATAGATGCAAAGATTCTAAACAATTTTTAGCACTCTGAATCCAACAACATAGAAAAACAATAAAGTTTATTGCATGAATTCAAGGTAGGTCTAACATTTGAAAACCAGTTGATATAATTCACCATATTGACCTCTTTGAAAACCTCTAGTTCTTGCTGATGGGAAGAATCACAGCCTGTGGGTACAGGAGTCCCCTGTATTTCTCCTTTGGTAGCAAAGCAATAAGCTGTCTTTGTCCTTTAAAAAAAAAAAACAACAAAACACCATATTAAGAAAGACCATATAATAATATCAATAAATGCAGAAAAAGCATTTGATAAAAATCCAACATCTAATCTTGATAAAAATTCTCAGCAAAACAAGAAACCTCAACCTAATGAATGACATCTACAAACAAACAAACAAACAAAAACCCATAGCAAGTATCACATTTATTAGTTAAAGGCTAAATGCTTTCCTTCAGGAATAAGGCAAGGATATCTACTCTCACCACTTCTATTCAGTATTGTGTAGAGGTTCTAGTCAATGCAACAGGCAAGAAATAAAAAGAATCCAGATTGTAAAATAAGTAAAATTCTCTTCATTCACAGATGATATGGCTAATGATATAGAAAATCCAGCAGAATTTTATGGAAAGTCACTGAAACTATTAAATGAGATCAGCAAGAAGACCAAGTTCAATATATTCAAATATTAATAACATAACATCTTTAATGGGACATAGTAGTTAGCCTTAGAGCTCTTGTCTAGCATATAGGAGGCCCTGGGTTCAATCCCCAACACCATAAAACAACAACAAAAACTGTACTTATATCTCAATATTAGCAAAAGCTGGTGGAAATTTAAATAAGAAATACTGAATACTGAGTGGAAAAATATCAAATACAAATTTTATAAATCAAATAAAAGATGTGCGATACTCATACTTTAAAACCCAGAAATAATGGCTGAGAAAAAAATTTAAAAGACATAAATAAATGAAGAGATAACATGTTCATGGATCAGGTGATGATTATCTTTGCAAATACACAGATTCAACACATTCCCAATCAAAACCCCAGCAGGATTTTTTTTTGGGGGGGGGGTTTGTTTTAGAAATTGATAAGCTGATTCTAAAATTCATTTAAAAAATATAAGGGACCTAGAATAGTGTAGACATCTTTGAAGAAGGACAAAGTTGGAGCACTATCCCTCTGACTGGAAAACTTATTATGTTAAACTACTGAAAAGAACATGGTGTTGGGCTGGGGCTGTAGCTCAGTGGCAGAGTGCTTGCCTTGTACAAGGTACTGGGTTCAATCCTCAGCACCACGTAAAAGTAAACAAATATAATAAAGGCATGTTGTCCATCCACAACTACAAAAACAAAAACAAAAAACAATGTGGTGTTGATATCAGAACACACAAACAAACCAAAGGAACAGAACAAAGAATGGAGAAACAGACCTACAAATATACAGACAAGTGACCTTTATTCCTTTTTTGGAGACAGGGATCTCACTATATTGTTGTTATGGTATGGATGTAGAATGTCCTCCAAAAGCTCATGTGTTGAAGGCTTGGTCACCAATGCAGCTATGTTCAGGGACAGGGCTTTTGGCAAGTGATTGGATCATGAGGAAGCTAACCTCATCAGTGGAGTTCATAACTGAATGGACTATTGGGAGGTGGTGGAAACTTTAGAAGGAGGGGCCTAACTGAAGGGAGTGGGTCCTTGGAGGTATGCCTTTGGGGACTACATCTTGACTACAGCCTCTGCTGGCTACCATGAGGTGCAGCTCTTCTCTACCACACACTTCCCACCATCATGTTCTGCCTCACCACAAGTCCACATGATGGGATCAAGTGACTACGTACTTAAACCTCTGAAACCATGAGTGAAAATAAAACTTTCCTCCCTTAAGTTAATTTTCTCAGGTATTCTGTGACAGAATACCTGATGAAAAGCTGGATAACATAGTGGCCCAGTCTGCTCTTCAATTCTTGGACAAGTGATCTTCTCACCTCAGCCTCTTGGATGCTGGCACTACATATATACGACTGCACTTGGCTCTGACTTCTAACAAAGGTGCTAAGACAGTTGAGTAGAGAAATACACTGGTAAATTGGATTTCATAAAAACTTATAACTCCTGGACTTCAAAAGTCGCTGTCAAATGAGTAAAGAGATAAGCTACCCTACAGAGAAATTAACTTCCACACAAAATTTGGTTCAGATGTTGAGACTGATGATCCTACCACCTAAGGAGGTATAAAAAGATTTATTCATATATGGTGCTTTCTGGGGAGAGTCAGATGATTAAGTAGGTAGACAAAAGGCTTTCGAGAACAGAGAAAGGAAAATACCTTAGAGTTTTTATTGTGTTTAAGGAATGGGGTTGGGCGAAGGTTCTTGCATGTAAGGAGATGTGTGTAGTTTGAACCAACCTTCCACTAGCACCAAAGGAAAGAGCCCCTGAATTTTCTTATCATCTTGCTCAGCTAGGATATGGAAGGGAAAGAGGATGGGGTGAGGCTTAAAAATGATCAGCAGTGAAACAGCACGAATGAAGTCTAATTACCCTATAGACTATGAGAAAATATTTGCAAACCATATGTATGATAAAAGTCTTATATGAAGACTAGATGGGCTGAGGCTTGGATTGTGGCTCAGTGGTAGAGCACTTGCTTAGCATGCGTGAGGCACTAGGTTTGATCCTTAGCACCACATAAAAATAAATAATAAAATAAAGGCATTGTGATCATCTAAAACTAAAAAATATTAAAAAGTATACATATATGGGCTGAGTTTGTAGCTCAGGGGTGAAGTGCTTGCCTAGCAAGTGTGAAGTACTGGGTTTGATCCTTAGCATCACATAAAAACAAAACAAAAAAATAAATAAAGTAAAGGTATTTTTTAAAAAGACTATATGAACAACTCTCAAACTTCAAAGCTAGAATAATAACTTAATTTTTTAAAAGGCAATAGGTTTGAACAGACACTTCATAAATGAAGGTATATATACAGCTAAGTAACAAATGAAAAGATATTTATTTGGGGCTGAGGCTGTGGTTCAGAGGAAAAGCATTCACCTAGTATGTGTGAGGAACTGGGTTTGAATCCTCAGCACCACATAAAAAATAAAGGTATTGTGTTTACCTAAACTAAAAATAAATGTTTTTTTAAAAAAGATATTTATTAAGCAGCATTATTTATTAGGGAAATGCAAAATAAATGTTGATACAAATTAAAACCACAATATACAATTATTAGAATGACTGCCATTAAAGACACTGACCATCTGAAGTGTCCCATGGATGTGGGAACAAAACAGAACTCCTGTACCCCACAGGTGGGAATGTAAAATAGTTTAATCACTTTGAAAAATCATTTTTGGTTTCTTAAAAAGCTAAGCATCCATATGACCAACCATTCTAATCCCAGTATTTATCAAAGATAAATAAAGAAAAGAATATGTGCCTATAAAGATTTGTGCAGGAATGATTACAGCAGCTTTATTTGTAATAACTAAAAATGGGAAAAATTCAAATACTCATCAAGAGATAAATGGATAAACTGTGGTATTACCTTAGAAGAGAACACTAGTGAGCAATAAAATGGAATGCATTACAAATATACAGTACAACCTGGATGAATCTCAAAATGTGCTGAATGAAATAAGACAGATCTTCCAAAAAAGAACATTATATAAGATTCCAGTTATATAAAATTCTAGAAAATGCAAACTATCCCATATAAAGAGAAAATAGAACAATTGTTGGGAAATAAAGGTAGGATGGGTGGGCAGGAAGGAGGCAATCATAAAGGGATATAAGAAAATGTTTAAAAGCTGGGTATGGTGGTGCACACCTGTAATCCTAGCAACTTGGGTGGCTGAGGCAGGAGGATCAGAAGTTTGAGGCTAGCCTCTCAGCAAGTTGGTGAGGCCCTAAGCAACTCAGTAAGACCCTGTCCCAACATAAAAAATAAAAAGGGATAGGGATGTGGCTCAGTGGGTAAGCAGCCCTGGGTTCAATCCCTAGTTCCAAAAAATGTTTGGACTGATAGATTTGTTCATTATGTTGACTGGTGATAGTTTCTCAGGTGTATTAATGTACATACCCAAATTTACCAGATGCCTTAAATATGAACAGTTTATTATCTGTCACTTATAATTAAATAAAGTTTCTATAAAAAGGCAAAAATTAAAACACTCATTTATGTCATTTATATCTCAAAAAAGCTGATAGCCTCTATCTTAGAAAACAATTTAAGGCCATGCATGAGGGCGCATGCCTGTATTCCCAGTAGTTTAGGAGGCTGAGACAGGTGGATGGCGAATTCAAAGCCAATCTCAGCAAAGCAACTCAGTGAGCCCCAGTCTCTAAATAAAATACAAAATAGGGCTGGGGATGTGGCTCAGTGGTTGAGTGCCCTTGAATTTAATCCCAAGTACTAAAGGAAAAGAAAAAAAAACAACTTAAGTAAAATTAAGTCAAAACACAAGTTTCTTATATGTCAGATTATGTCATAAGCATTTCCCTTATTTTGACAAATTAATGATTTCATTTAGTCCCTCTTGTCAGGTTTAATGTTTCTTAAAGTATTAGGTTTTATTAATAATAATAATATACATAATATTATACCATTTATATTGGACACAAATCCCAACCTTCCTTTTTTTTTCCTTGCAGAAAAGCATCAACTCCTCTATCAAGTTCTAGATGGACTTCCTTTCTATAATCCCTTACTGAACTACTGTTACTGAGTTAGAATACACTAATGCAGAATGATCCAGAACAACACTGATTCACTAAAGATAAGCAACTTCCCTTCCACTACAAAACAGACCTTGCTACCTTATTCATCTCTCTAGCTAGGCTTCTGATCTCTCTCTAGGTAAGACCCAATCCTCTCTCTACCCAAACCTAAGAGCTTATCAGAGCTGAGACTTCATCTTGCACTAAGACTTAGACCATTCACAACAAAATTTTCCTTTATCTATTCAAAAAACTATGGAGAAAGTTTTCCTTCTTGTGGTCCAACAAGACCATCACTTCTATATCATGAAACTGAGAATCTGACAAGGACAGCTTAAATATTTCCTTCAAGGAACTTCTTTTTTTTTTTCTTTTTAAGGAACTTAATTAATTTTTTCACTACTCAAAATCTGCTCTTTTTTCTTGGTACCTAGGGTTGAATCCAACAGCACTTAACTACTGAGCCACATCCCCAGCAACCTCCTCAACCCCTTTTCTTTTACCTTTATTTTATTTAGTTTTTTTATGTGGTGCTGGGAACGAACTCAGTGTCTCAAGCACGCTAGGCAAGTGCTCTACCACTGAGCCACAACCCAATCCCAGCCCATGTTTTTTCTTTCTTTCCTTTTTTTTGATACTGGGGATTGAACTAAGGGGCACTCAACCACTGAGCCACATCGCCAGCCCTATTTCGAATTTTATTTAGAGACAGGGTCTCACTGAGTTGCTTAGCACCTTGCCTCGCCATTGCTAAGGCTTGCTTTGAACTTTCAATCCTCCTGTCTCAGCCTCCCAAGCTGTTGGGATTACAGGCGAGCACCACTGCACCTGGTTCCTTTTTATTTTTTATTTGAAGACAGGGTCTCACTAGGTTGCTTACAGCTTTGATAAATTGCTGAGGCTGGCTTCAAACCTGAAATCCTCCTGCCTCAACCTGCAGAGCTGCTGAGATTATAGGCATGCACTACCACACTCGGCTTAAAACCTGCTCTTGAGAGAAGACTGAACATATTGCAAAATTAATTGATGAATAAGTAAAAGTAAGTTGACACATGGGAACTATGAAATGCGTCCAACAGCTGTCTTACAAAGGCTGTTTAGGGATAAAAACAGAAAATATTACATGAGTTAAAATCATAACTTTTCAAGAAATAGAAAGAGACATCAACTTACCTGGGCCATGATTTAACCATGCCGGCCTTCCTTGGTATTCCTCTATTAGAGAAGAAAAGTTCAGAGAGCCAGAGCTAGGGGAGGAAAAAGAGACTTTGAGACCTGGTGGACTTCAAAACTCTGAAGCTTTTTTTTCTTTATTCTTTCTTCTTCCTCTTCCTGCCATACCCTAAACATTAACACATGTCAAGGGATATGACACATCCAGACAAATCCAAGCCCTCTCCATTCAGACCACACAAGTGGGGACACAGAGAAAAGGTACCACTGCACCAAAGTGGATCCATCTGATCTATGGCCTCTCTCATTCTGAAGATGCAAACTCCAAGGCTAGGGATATAGCTCAGTTGGTAGAGAGCTTGCCTCACATGCACAAGGCCCTGGGTTCAATCCCCAGTACCACAAGGAAAAAAAAAAAGCCAGGATTAATTAGGCTGCTTATAAGAATTGTACCTTAAATATAAAGACACAGATATGTTAAAGAATGGAAAAATATATTAGATATAAATCAGAAGAAAGCTGGTATATGTGTACTTGTAACAGAAAAAATAGACTTTGATGCAAGAAATATTATAAGTAACAAAGGGGACATATTCTACCTTTCACCAAGAACAGAATAGTAGTCCTAATATTTGTAGGTACTTAATGAGAGAGCTTCAAACTATATAAAACAAAAGTCAACAGAAGTAAAGGCTAGACATTTAAAATTAAAGTTAGAGATTTTAACACTACTGTTAACAGAAAAGACAACACACAAAGCAAAAATCAACAAGTCCATAGAAGTTTGAACACAATCAAATTGAGTTATAAACTGCAGTTTATACATTCTTTTCAAACATTGATATCATAATTACCAGGATAATATTCTGGGTCAAAAAACAAGTATCTATAAATTTCAAAGGGTTAATACAAAACAATGGATATTTTCTTAAGTCTTTAGAATTAAAAAATAGGCATTCCTCAAATGTTTTCAAATATAAGGAGTATAATTCTAAATAACTATAGTTCAAAGAATAAATAAAAGTGGAAGGCACAAAATATTTTTAATTGAATGATAATGAAAATACAACTTATCAAAGCTTGTGTGGTGCAGTTAAACCAATGTTAACAAAGTCATGTTTGGATTTAAATGTATGTTTCAAGAAAACATAAAGGTTTAAAATTAATTCTCTACCTCAAGAAATAGAGAAAAGATGGGCTGGGGATATAGTTTAATCTTAGAATGCTTATTTAGCATGTAGAAGGTGCTGGGTTCTATCTCCACATTGGAAAAAAAGAGGAAGAAGGAGGAGGAGGAGGAGGAGGAAGAAAGAAAAGCAAATTAAACTTATAGAAAGTAGAACATACCAAAAGAAACCAATAACATTAAAAAAAAAAGAACTGGATATATAAAAAAGCAAAATGAGTACAGTCAGAAGCTACTTCATTGGAGAGATGAATAAACCAGTAAAAAAAAAAAAAATCCTGTCAATTATCAGGAATATAAAAGGGGTATCACTATATATACTGCAGAAATGAAAATGATAACAGACCTTATAAACAATTTTATGATGATAAACTTGAAAACCTGGAGGAAATTTTAAAAATTACTAGAAAAGGCAGTTTAAAATGATATAAGAAATGGCAAATCAGGATATTGCTATATGTATTAAAGAAATTAAATCCATATTAACTATCTTTCTACCACAATAATGTTAGGCCCAAAGGCTTCAGTGGCAAATTCTTTCATTTACAGAATTAAAAATACCAACCAAACTTGGCCTTCTCAAGTAAACAGAAATATATGGACCGTATCATGAAGTGAGCTGTCTTAGTACATTTCATTTGCGAGAGCAGATCCCTCATGACCCCCAGGTGCCCCTCAATTCCCTGTCACTCTCAAAGCCTCAACATGAATTTTGGCTTGGAACAAACCACATCCAAACCACACCACCTGTATAATTGTGGTATAAAAACCTATCAAGGACATTTCAAGAAAGGAAAAAATACAGCATATCTTTCCCATGGGCACAGATGCAAGTATATTAAAAAATATTGCAAAGAAAAACCAGTAATATAAATGACTGAGAGAGATTTATTTTAGAAATGTAAATGTCATTTAATTAAAAAAAAATCAATTCAAGAAAAAATTTTCTGTAAATTTGGAGCAATAGGGAACTTCTTTCATGTGATAAAGAAAATATATGGAATAAAAACTATAACTACCAGGCTGGGGATATAGGTCAGTTGATACAGTATTTGCCTCACATCAAGACCCTGGGTTCAATCCCCAGCACCACAAAACAAAACAAAAAACTATAACTACCATTAAACATAAAAGGAAATATGAACCACTATCTTTCTGAGTTGAAGAAAAAGTAATGTTGTCTGCTTTTATTGTATCTATGATTTGACTGAAATTTCAAATCTAGAAGTTTATCCTCAGGGAATAACTATAAAAAGACATAGAGGTCTATGTATAATGATATTCATTATGAGTTTAGTTTTTAGTAAAAACTTTGAAGCATAATAACTAACAGTAAGCAAGAGGTTACATACATTATAAAGAGAAAGCCCTGAAAGTGAGATCTTGTATTTACAGACCAGTCACTATGAGGCAGAACATTTCAAGAGAAAGGAAAGAGTCTCAAGTATTTGAAATTAAAGTGCATTTTATGAAGAATGAAGAATCATAAACTCACCTGAACTTTTAACTTTCAGATGTGCAACAAAAATTCTTTCTTCTTCCAGGATTTTTATTTGTCTGTTTTTTAGAGAGGCGTGGCACTGGGAAAAGAGGCAAGCAGAGAAAGTGAGTTTTATTTAAATAATAGTAACAGATGTCTCCTGAAAGGGAAAAGAGGGCCATAGCTGGTGTCCTCCTATCCCAAGAAGTAAGAGTATCTGTCCCTGTTGCAGAAAGTTCACTCCTTGTCCCCAGTGCCAATTAATGCCAATTTAATAATGAGGACATAGTTTTGAGAAAAAGCAAAAGGTTGTTTTATTGCTTTGCTATCAAAGGAGAAAAACAGGGGACTCCTCTCCCAAAGGCTATGAATGTCAATCAGGAGGGACAGGAGGTTTTTAAAGGAACCCTAGAAGAGTTACATTCCAGGTGTGCTCTGGTAGGGGGTCCCAGGGCGCCCTTATGGTATGCTAGGATTCACATGTTAATTTGGGAGATATTCCACTTCCCAGATCCTCAGACAGTGGGTGTGTTCAGGAGCAATTAACTAGAGGAAGAAAAAGATAACACTCCATTCCCTTTGAATCATCTGCCATCTTCCCCACCAACCAAGATCACCTATCTACACTGCCTGTCTTTAATTCTTGCTTCACCTGCTCACCTAACCCACACATTACCAGACCTGGGTAGGAAGGAGACTAGAACTGATCTTCCCAACCCAAGAGAGGCCAGGGTCATGTCGGAGCCTTTGGCCAAAGTTTTTGGAAATACTGTAGTTATGAAAACATGTCATTAACTCCTTGGAACTTCCAGAGAGGAACCTCCCAAAGGTAATCCTACTCCTGGGATAGCCTCATCAGGTCTACCCAGACTCCAGCCTTAAAATATGAGGCCATGTTAAAAAAAAAAAAAAAAACGAAAGAAAGTCTTTTCTCAAGATCAAGTCTGTCTTCTGGCTGGGATTCTCTATTCTAAGGTTCAAAATCTGGTTTCCCTCTTTTACTTGCTGCAGACCCCAAGTGACTGAAAGGAGAGAAGGCTGAGGAATCAGAACCTAGAGACATTAAGTAACAATGTCAACACACAGCCACAAAACTCTCGCCTACCCATAAGCCACGCATCCAATCAACCAGTTAGTGATGCGCCAACACAAACATCGTCAGAGACACAACGCAGTTCCGCAGTTCCCCGTCTGCTGCTCTAAGACTTCGCACAGGACAAGACCTGCCCGCTCTCTGGGTGTGAGGGGACCTTTAATTAAAGGAGTTTTTTGGAGGAAGGAAGATACTGTGCTGTGCCTAAGCGGGACAGAAAACAAAGACATAGGGCTGCCAGCTCAAAAAGGTCAGGGATTAAAGGCGCTTCTGAGTTCTTTGTTCACCTTTGCCGGGCTTTTTGCTAGGAATGGTTTAAGCTAAACAAGGAATGATTGACAGATTCATTCCCCACAATGCTTATAGCGCATGCGCCAAAGCTCCCATTCCAGAGTTTTACCCTAGAAGTGTGATATGCAAGTCCTACAAATGGGATCTTCAGCAGGGGCGGGGAAGGGGGGGTTCTCCTATTAGGTGACTCTAGGTAAAACGTGGGTCTCTGCGCATGCTCCTTCAGAAGGTCGGACACATTTTTTGAAAAACAATCTTGTCGCGAGTAGCGCCACAAGCCTGTAATCCCACCGGCTCTCGAGACTAAAGCAGGACCTAGAGTTCAAAGCCAGCCTTAGCAATTTGGGGAAGCCCTGTCTCTAAGTAAAACACAAAAAAAGGGCTGGGGATGTGGCTCAGTGGTGAAGGGCTCCCGGGTTCAATCCCTGGTACAGAAGAAAGAAAAATAGAATCTTGCTGTTCACTCTTTGAGGAAAACAGCTCCTCCAATAACAGAGGGCAGGAGGCCAAATCCTTAGCCTCACCAGTTCGGCTGCCTGAGGTGGGGTGGGGCTTGGGACCAGGGTCCCTACCTCACTGGGCTTCCTCGCCTTCGGAGCCTCTCACCCCCACCGCCAGGTCTATTCCGGATGTGAAAGCCTCCGCGGAATTTATTTTTGGGAAGGGGGTTTTGGGAGGGGGACACGATTTTCTCACCACGCTGGGACTGTGGCCACTGGAACACAGGAAGAAGACTAAAGGGTGAAAGGTGAGTCAACCTCCAAGGCTCCTGGGAAATGTAGTGCAGCTGGAAGAATCCTGACTCTGTAGCCCGTGCTCCAAGTGGGCATGCGCGGTACGACCAGGTACTGGAGCGGTCAGGAGGACAACGCTTTCAAGACGTTAGGAGAGGAAGGCGGAATCTGAGTCCCACCAGGATCGAGGAGCCAAGGGCAAGCGGACAGGAAATCTTCAGTTCAAGAGGAGGAGGTTGTGGGTTCCAAAGTGCAGTCTGCAGCATGTATCCAGGGGGAGAGCTCTATAGGGACAGGGACTTTGTTTTTTTTTGACCCTCCAAGTTGGTATTGTTACGAGGAGCCGCTCCAGAAAGCACTCTAAGCCCCAATTTCAAATTAAAAGAGAGTTTTATTTACCTGGCCAGGGACTGTCACCCACCGTAGAGACTCAAGTTCTGGGGCAGGACAGCAACTTCCTAGTCCATCCAAGGAGAATATAAGCACAAAAACCACAACTTAGTGACTTGCTTGTCCTCATGTAAGCTACCAATCACAGAAATTAAAACATTCATAAGTGGGGCCTGTGGGCTCTAGGCAGGGCTGGAATTTTCCAGTCAGCAAGCAAGTGATAAATAGAAGCTAAAAAGCATTAGCTTTGGAGTTCAGTTGACACTAAAAAAAGCATTAGCTTTGGAGTTCAGTTGACCACAGTCCGCGGTTCAAGCAGGTACTAGACAGTCATTTCCTGAATTTGGGTGGGGGTCTGCAGGGCAAGAATCTACTTCAAAATCATGTAGACCTACAAGGGCATTCAAACCCAGGATGTAGCTCACCACCACCACCGCTGCATCCTGAGTAGGGTACAATTTATGGGGTACAAAGTACAGAAAGACAATTTTTTAAAATAAGAAAACAGCTTTAGTTTCTATTTCCTAGAAATGGGTCATGCAGTTCTCCCTTCACAGGGACAGTAAAAAAAAAAAAAAAAAGAAATTAAGATGAAGTTTCTCTAGTCACATCTTTTTACTCAAATGACCCTATTCTCATAATCCCAGCAAGATGTGCATTGTTGAAAGTAACTAATGAGTCTCTACGAGAGCAAATGCTTTACACACTCAGTACTAGTAACTTGTTTGATGCCTACTTAAAACTACAGTTATCTTATGGCCTATACGCACATTTTCATCTGTCATTTTACTAATATTCATAAACCCTATGTCCTTTATCCTATGCAAGGCTACAAGAGCAGGTTGCTATGTTAATCTAACCTTATCTATATCTATATTAATCTACTTGCTTATTTATCTATAACTACTGACACACTGACTTATTCTATGGCTTAAATCCTATGTTTTACAGTTACATGATTTTTCTACTATTACTTAGGCTTATTCCTGGTTTCTTTTAAAGGGTTGTGGTCAGACCTGCTTGCATCGGTTTGATTTTTTCTTGTTAGTCTTGAACAACGTTGTAGTTGGGTAGACCTTTTTATCATTCTTTTTAAGCATAAAGCATGTAGTGCTTTTCTTTTAACCTTCCCCAATTTAAATTTGAACTCTTTACTCCTGTCCCTGACACTCAAGCCTGGAAAATGTGCCTTTCAGTTAATTATCACCAACTTTGAACCCTATACTTCTGTCTCACAATGAGAAAACAACAAAACAACAATCACCACCAACCCAGGCCGATTTGGAAAACAAACATTGATTTAGATTCCACCTGCTCATCCAAAGGAAAATTGCAGGATCCACCTAACAAGAGGAAGCTCAGCCTTACCCAAGATTCTGGGACGTGTAGTCCAGACCTTTCCTCTGGCTGGAGCACTTCCGCCCCGGGAAGGCGTGGCCACGGTAGTTGCTCCTCTGAGGGACATAAGGAACTACAGGGATACTACAATGTCCAGAATATTTGGTGGCACTTCGGCTGCCGGAGAAGAAGAATATAAAGCCCGCCGTTCTCGGAACTTTTCAGGCGATGCAAGTCGGCGCCAGCACTTCCGCGGGGGGGGGGGGGGCGCGGGGCGGGGGGGGGGCGGCCCAGTGTCCCGCGGGATCTTGGGAAGTGTAGTTCCGGAGCTCGGAGCCACCCGGGCACTTCCGTCGCGGGGTAGCGATCGCGGCCTGTGTAGTAGCTCTCAGGGCGGTGAGTGGATTTGGGGACCCTGCGGTCTTCTGTAACCTTTCTGATCTGATGGTAGGGTCAGCGAGATCTGCACCTGGGTCACCGAGAAGAGAAGCCGCGACTAGCGGCGGAGGGCGGGGTGGAGGGGCAGTGGCGGCGCCGTCTTCGGTTCCCTGGGACCTTTGCTGTTGGTGGGTTCGCGAGTCCCCGGGTTGGAGGCGGACCTGGAGCTCAGCCTTTGAGCTCTGGGCTCTGCTGCCCGACCCGCCTTCCCTCTCCTTCCCCACTCCCTGTGGCTTTCAGCAGCATAAGGTTCGGTAGGAATCTTTCAGAGCATTAGTTTCCTCACGTGTAAAAGGGAATATCCCAAGTACCTGTCTTAAACATCTGTTTTCAGTCTGAGAGTACAGGTTAAATGTGCAGGACAGTGTAGGCTTGTGGCCGGGTGTTGGCGTTACTGGTAGGACCACTATAGTAAACACTGTTCGTTTCCTTGCAAGGTCTTTGCAGTACCACTCGCTCTTCCTAGCGTAAAGAAGGCCGCTCCTGGACTACTGCTACATCCTCAGCCCCTGGACTACTTCTGACCTGTTTTTTTGAAGAAAGCGTGCATCGCTCACAGATGGAGTTTAATGAGATCCTGTGTGGATTTTCCAGTACCACAAATAAGATCATGGTATCCCCCAGCCTTCTTCCCTTCCCCTGCCCCGTCTTCTGAAAGGCTGCAGAGAGGAGGAGTAAATCCCAGACTCCTGGCAGCAGAGCCTCACTGGGCAGAACCTAGGATTCATCTTCCTGTTCTGTTCAGAGTGGAAGAAGGTATTTCGTTCATTAACAAATGTTTTTGCTACAAAAGTTAAATTATTGTTGAATAATTGGGAAAATGTGTCATGAATAATAGCCATAATAGGAAATATTGAGTGCCAAGTAATGTTCTAAGGGCTTGCTGATGAAAATTAACTCATTTAACCTTTACAAAGGCCCTATGATGTAGGTATTGTTATTAGTATTATTTCACAGAAGAGGAGGAGGTATAGATACAAAGAGCTTAAATTGCTGGAGGGCCTGTAATCCTAGTTGCTCCAAGTCTGAGGCAGGAGGATTGGGAATTAAAAGCCAGCCTCAGCAACAGCTGGGTGCTAAGCAACTTGTGACACTGTATCTCTAATTAAAATACAAAAAAAAGAGGACTGGGAATGTGGCTCAGTGGTTGAGTGCCCCTGAGTTCAATCCCAGGTACCCAAACAAACAAACAAAAAATAAAACAAAGAGCCTAAGTTACTTATTCTTTGTTACAGTGCTAGTAAGAACAATGGAGTTTCTGTCTAGGGCTTGTGTTCTTTATATCTTTGGATATCCTAAGACATACAATTTTGAATTAGGAACTAAAAAAGAAAAGCAATCCATATAAATATTCACCCATAAGAAACTAGATGCAAGGGAGTTATTTGGGAGTAAGTTGGAGAGAGAGGTTGGAATTTTATTATAGAGGATTTTGAAAGCAAGGTTAGTGGGTTTGGCCTCCTCTATAAAAATTTAAAGCATTATCAGTAACTTTATTTTAAACAATATGTATAGTTCTGATCATAAAAATTCATGCTCTTGGGCAGAGGAAAGAGCGCTCACCTAGCATGCGTGAGGCACTGGGTTCAGCACCACAGAAAAAATAAAATAAAATAAAGGTATTGTGTCCACCTACTAAAAAATAAATGTTTAAGAAAAAAATGCATGCTCTTTGTAGAGAATTCCAAAAGTTCAGAAATGTTAAGAAATACATTAAGAATTACTTGTCCTACTAGAATATAGATTTATTAACTTTTTAATGCATTTCTACTAGCAGTTTTTAAACAGGTATTGTCTATATTTATAAAATATTAATAGTGAATTTTTACTTCCTTAGCTCTTAGGTATCTTTTTTTTGGGGGGGGGGGCAGGGACAGTATTTCATCATGTTGGCCATATTAGCCTTGAACTCACAATTCTTCCTGTCTGAGCCTCTCTTTTTTTTTTTTTTTTTGGTACTGGGGATTGAACCCAGGATGCTTAACCCTGGGTTCACATCCCAAGCCCTTTTTATATTTTATTGAGCTATAGGTTGTTGCCGAGTTGCTCAGGGCCTAAGTTTCTGAGGCTGGCCTTGATCTAGCTATCCTTCTGCCTCAGTCTCCCAAGTTGGTGGGATTACAGGCCTAAGTCACTGTGCCCAGCTCTCTGAGTCTCCTGAGTAGTTGGAATTAGAGGTGTGTGTTACTACCTCATCTTTTCAGTTTTTCACTATGGAAATTTCTAGATATACCCAAAGCATAAATAGCTCCTATGTAACTTCAGTCTTTTCTAATCTTGATGCTTCTCCTCTTCACCTGCCACATTTTTCCCCCTTGAGTATTTTAAAGTGAATTCAGACACTGAGTAAGTAGAAGGTATATGTATGATGTGTGTGTATGTATGTATGTATATATATATATATATATATATATATATATATATATATATATATATATATATATATATATATATAAAGTTTTTATATGAAGAACAGGGACAGGAGATTATATTCATTTACTAGGGCTCTAATGAGAGAGTTCTACAGATTAAGTAGCTTAAATAACTGAGATTGATTTTTCTCATAGTTCTGGAGGCAAGAAGTTTAAGGTCAAGATGTCAGGAGTTTTGGCTTTTTCTGAGACCTTCCTCTTCCATGTGCCAAAACTCCTCTACCGCCCCTCTGTGTATTAATGTAATTACTTCTGTAAAGGCAGTATCTCCAAATAGTTACGTTCTGAGGTGCTGAGAGTAGGACTTCCAGATGAGTTTGGAAGGAACACAAATGAGCCTATAACAGATGTTAACAGCAACTCTTAGGTTCTTGCTCTTGGCAACTTGGAGAATATTATTAATGTGAGAAAGAGTTGTAGTTAGGAAAGGGAAGTTGGTGAATTTCTTTGCTGCATTGAGGCGTATAACCCTTAGTTTCTTTTCTCTGTCCTGTTAGGCTATAGGGACCTTTGATTCATGGACCTCATCATATTCTCAGAGTGTTCAGCAAAAGGTTGGCAGAGAGGAGTTACCAGTGTGTAAGTGTGATTCATGTAGCTGTCCCATCAGGCAACTGGAAATAGGGTGCTCCAACATGGCTCATGACACAAAAGGAATCTTCCTCCTGTCATTTGCAACTCAAAAGAGATCTAGACCAACTAGTCTAGTCTTGCCATGTGCCTGTGCCTGTCTGGTGGTGGGTTCATTCATTCTTTCAGTCAGTTTTACTGAACCAGTTACTTTCTTGGAGATGTTTTAGGTACTTGGAATATAAAACAATAACTGTTAATCACAAGAGAGATAGTTGATTTACTAATTATTTCTTTTCCCCCAGAGGGAATAGGAGAGGGCAAAACATTCTTACCAAGCAGAAATTGCTGGGCAGATATGGAATTAGAACAAAGCAAATCACAAATTTTGAATGCGGATTTTCTCCATGGTTGGGAAGAAATTCATAGTAGGTTCTTCTACCTATCTAATAATTAACTTAGAAGCAATAATTAACTAATACTGATCTCTTAAGCTGGATATTTTTTTCTCTATTTCTATCTTCTTCAGAATCAGAACCGTATCCTGAGATCTGGAAGGAGAACTTGTATTAGGGCCACTGTGTGTAGTTGATGCCTTGTACACTGTGCAGGGGCCTTGGCTGAAAGTTTGAGTAGTATCTGGAATCCAGCCTACATTTTACTTACCAAGGTGTGTGCAGCTGTAGTCACCTGAGTGTCTTTGTCAGTTTCGACTCCTATAACACACCACATACCAGGTGGCTTAACAACATACATGTATTTCTCATAGTTCTGGAGGCTGGAGAGTTCAGGATCAAGGTGTTGGCAAACCTGATGTCTGGTGAGGCCATGTTCTTAGGTTTGCAGGTGCCATCTTCTAGTAGCCTCATATTGTTCATACTGGGGGTTGAGGGACTAGCTCACTTTTTCTTCTCCTTTAAAAAAAAAAATTAGTTGTCAGTGGGCCTTTATTTTATTTATTGTATGCGGTGCTGAGAATTGAACCCAGTGCCTCACACTTGCTAGGCAAATGCTCTACCACTGAGCCACAACCCCAGCCCTCACTTTTTATTCTTGTAAGGACACTAATCCCATTGTGGAATTTCCACCCTCATGATTTAATTTTCTCCCAGAGGCCCAGTACATCACATTAGGGTTTTAACATATGAATTTTCAGGGGCCACATTCATTCAACTCATAGCACCAAACAAGGAACATTTTTGACTCCTTCACATGAAACAGCCATGTTGGTCCCTGGGGAATATATATTGAAGGTTTAAGCTGCCAGACATTTCCAAAAGCTTTATGTATATTTAGATACTTTGACTGACCTTCCTATGAGTTTGGTATTATTATTATTCCCAATTTTTAGATTAGATGCAAAGGCACAAAGTACTGGCAAGTGGAGATGTCATTATTCAAATACTGACGGGCTGGTTAGAGCCTGTCCCTTTCATAGCTTAGTTCTCATCTCCCTCAAGCAGATCCTTTGACTTCGGAGTCCTCTCTGTTTCTGTGTCTGTCTTTTATCCATAGTTCTCAGGCTGTCATTTCTCTCTCTGTCAGACTTAGACTTCCATCTGCTTATTTTTTTCTTTAGAAGCAAAAGAGAAACAAGATTTACAACACTGGCTCTGGTGTGAGAGCTGGATTCAAGGACCACTGCTGCCTCTTGACCTCACCTGTCAATGGGTATAAGAATTGTCATCATGATTTCTTGAAAACTTGCTGAAATGCCAGGTACTTTGCCAAGGGTACTGCATGAATTTATTCATTTATTCCCCATAATAATCCTATGACTAATATTCTGTTTTTCTTCTTTTTATAGCTGAAGATGGGCACCAATGTGTAGGTGGTTGGACAAAGGTCACCTAACTATCGTAACAGTAGCTTCTTCACAGGTATGTGTGAGGGACCTAAATGAGACATGTGCCAAGTGCTTCACAAGGCCTCTAATATCTACTTAGTGTTTATTTAATGTTAGCCATTATTGTTTTTATGATTATGATGATAATTAGCTTGTTAACTTCATTGACACTGATTATCAAATTTGGGGTTAAATAAAACTTAGAGAGACACAGGTTTTTGTTAAAGTTCCTTATCTCCATGATAAAGTCTTTTTAAGACCCTACCTTGTTAACAAGGTAGATTTTGCAACCCAGTCATCCATAGAGTTAGACACATAGACACAGAGGAGGAGTCACCAGTGGCTTGGGAGTGGGAGTTATTGCTTAGTGGGTTCAGAATTTCAGTTTGGGGTGGTACAGAAGTTCTGGAGATGAACAGTGTGGGTGGTTGCACAACATTGTCAATGCACTTACTAAATTGTACACTTAGAAGTGGTTAAAGTGGTAAATTTTACATTTTATATTTTATATCCCCCAAACCCCAGTCATTTAGGAAATCTTAAATATTATTTCAGAGGCATCAAGTTAAGCATGACAGACTAAGAGAATAACAGATACTCCAGAAGTTCGAGGTAGTTTTCATTTGAAAGCAACAACCTTTTGGCTTTTTTTCCTCATTCTCATGTTATGCCTTCCTAAGACTCAGTGTTCCCCGAAGGAGGAGGACACAATGACCAAATTCAAGGTGAGTTGGGCTTACTGTTCCACATTTTAAATTGTCATTTCTGAGAGATTACATACATCTTGCTTCTTTTTCTGAGGAAGAATTAAGGATAATAGTAGGCATTTGAGAAGCTCTTGGGTGCCAGATGCTTACTACCTTTTAGTATAGTTTAATTTTCATTGCTTTATCATTTTATAATTTGATCAAAAAGCATAGAAAAGTCAATAGTGGATAAAAATCTTCCAATTTTCTACTATTTTTTTTTTAATAAAATGACAGTTATTTTCCCATGCTGTTTTCTTCATATGCATTCAAATATAGGATACAAAAAATTTTATATTTATTTACAGGTAAATATAATGGTATATTTGTAATCATTGTATAGATAAAATTCTGTTATACCTTTTATAAGAACTATTATATGCCCAGCATTTTTTATGATTACATCATTGTGTTAGCTGTGACCAAAATACCTGACATGCTGGGCATGATGGCGTGTGCCTGTAATCGCAGTAGCTCTGGAGGCTGAGACAGGAGGACCTCAGCTTCAAAGCCAGCCTCAGCAAAAGCAAGGTGCTAAGCAACTCAGCAAGACCCTTTCTTTGAATTGAAATACAAAATAGGGCTGGGATGTGGCTCAGTGTTTGAGTGCCCCTGAGTTTAATCTCTAGCACCCCCCCCCCCAAAACAAACAAACAAACAAACAAAAACCTGACAGTAACAATTTAGTGGAAGAAAGATTTATTTTGGTTCATGGTTTTAGAAGTTCAGTCCATGGTCTGCTGGCTCCAGGGCAGAAATATGGTGGAGGAAATCTGCTCAGCTCGGGACAACGTGGAAGGAGACAGGAAGAGACCAGGAACAAATATAGTTCCAAGACCATGCTCTAGTGACCTGCTTCCTCCAGCCAGGTCTAACCTGCTTATCATTTTCACCCCTCCTGGTGAAGTCCATTCAAATTATTATTATTATTGTTTTATATATATATATTGGGCTGGGGATGTGGCTCAAGCGGTAGCGCACTCGCCTGGCATGCTTGCGGCCCAGATTCGATCCTCAGCACCACATACAAAGATGTTGTGTCCGCCGAAAACTAAAAAATATTAAAAAATTCTCTCTCTCTCTCTAACATATATATATATATATATATATATATACATATATATATATATATATATATATATATATATATATTAGTGTTGATGGATATTTATTTATTTATTCATTTGTTATATATACAGAGCTGAGAATCAAACCCAGTGCCTCACACATGCTAGGCAAGTGCTGTACCACTGAGCCACAACCCCAGTCCCCATTCAAATTATTAATTCATTAAATGGATTAATCTACTGATGAGGTCTGATTCCTCATAATCCAATCTTTTCACCTCTGAACATTGCTGCATTGACTAATATATGAGCTTTTCAGTGGATGTTCCAGATCCAAACCACAGCAATTAATATTCCATTAAGTTGGCATATTCTGTTGCGAGGAGAGTTGAGAGATAATTTTTCCCTGTTCATGGACATTTAAGTAGTTTAGAATTTTTACAGTTATGTTAAGGAACAGTGTAGTACAGTTTTCCTAGATCATAAGCCTTTCCCCAAAAAGGAATTTGAAGGAGTTTTGTTATTATTTTTTTTTCTAATATTTGAGGAACACTAAATTGAAAAAGCACTTTTGATATGTGGTACTTTGTATATAGACTATAAAAATACAGCATGATGTAACATGATCTAACTAATCAGAGATCCACACAATAAAGCTAGATATCTTTTACCCATGCTGGAGTTACACTGCAGATGTGTTTACTTCCTGATCTACATTTTTTAAATCCATTACATTAATTTATTTTATTGAAGTAATAATGTATTTATTTTTTAAAGCTATAATACAAGAAGACTTGCTAGGTACTTTTATTGCATTTAGATCTCAAACCAACCTTAAAAAGTAGTGCTTGGTTTCATGTGCATTGCTAAGAATCAGGATTATAGAATTTCAGAAAACTGCTAAAATTCACACTGGAGACTGAAGATTCAACTGATTCAGAAAGTCTCCTAAAGTTTTTGCTTGGATAAGAGAGCAGGGAAGGGAAAAGAATTCTCTGTGTAAAGGATTTAGGTGCTGGGACACAGAACTAAACCAGTCAGGGTCATTCCTGGTGAACTGGGATGGCATGAAATAATCACACAGAGACAGAGAAATACCTTTTTCTTTGGGTTCTGTGATGGCTCTTCTGACCCAGGTCCTGCAAAGGAGGCAAAGCCGGCAAGAAAGAGAAAGACCATGCCTTGAACCTGGTTTTTTTGGGGGAGAAGCCATTCAAATGAGGCAAGGGGTAGGATTACAAGGGAACAGGTGAGTGTAATTCAACCCCACCAGGTGACACCTACTCCTGGAGCCATGCCTCATTATCTGAGCGGAGGTAAATGTTAATGTGGGGAGCAATAATTGTTCAGTATCTCTTGCTCAGGGCTTAAGGACGTGTATTTCCAGAGCAGCTCCCAACACTTAGGCCTTTCTTTGTGGGTGCCAAAGTTGTCCTGGTGGGTTGAAGATACTACAGATCATACTGCCCCTTCTCAGTTCACGCTTCAGTGACCCATTGTCTATATTATTGACATAATTCATAGTTCTGCACATTCAGGCACAACTCTGGGGATGAACAGTGTTCAGATGAAAAGTTAAAACAGTGTTTAATTCTTATCAAGAAAATTCTTAATCATGAGTAATTCTATTTCCTAGGCAACATCTTGAAACAGTTTTGTCACAGTTGAGGGTGCTAGTGGATAAAATCTAGGGATGCTGCTAAACATCTTATAGTGCACCAGACAGCCCCCCATAGCCAAGAAGTGTCTGGCCCAAAATATCAGTTGTGCTAAAGTTGCGAAATACTGCCGTTACACAAAGCTATATAAGAATAATAGCAAAATATGGGTGGAAATGTCCAATATGTACACATACATACATATACCCAAAAACAAAAGTTTAAAATATTTAGTAGAAATTTAACAGAGACATAAGGTAAAACTCTAAATGGGATATAAGAAAAAAGATAATAATAAGCAAGGTACCAAAGAAAAAATTAAAAAGGCCAGTAAATATATGAAAATAGGATCTCATTAATCATCAAATAAGTGCAAGTAACCAAAACATGTTTTTTTTTTTTTTTTTACTAACTAGATTACCTAGAATTAAAAAAAAAGTCAGTGTTGTCTATGATAATTTAGATAAATATGTATATTCTTTTGGGGAAGGATAAAATAGGGGAAAATTTGAAACCTGTCACTGTACATCAAATTTTGAAGTTGCATATTCATTGATATTGTAATTTTCACTTCTAATAATTAGATGGACTAATATTTACAAAAAAGTTGATCTTTTCAGCATTTATTATGACAAGAAAGAAATCTTTAAAACTTATATTATGGTAAAGTTGACTCTGGTCTCTTAGAATCTAGAACTGCAACACATCTTTTCTACTTTTCTCAGTGTTACCCTTCTTCCAGTGGATTTTTGCGGCAGCATTTAGGTGGAGTCTGTTTGATGTTTTAGGAGGTGGTGACATTCAAGGACGTGGCTGTGGTCTTCACTGAGGAGGAACTGAGGCTGCTGGACTCTGCCCAGAGGAAGCTGTACCAAGATGTGATGCTGGAGAACTTCAGGAATGTGGTCTCAGTGGGTGAGGACAGATGCTCTGGTGGAACATTAGCTCCCTGTGGCACGTCTGTGTCCCTAGATGTGCAGGGCTTTGGAGTTTTCTTTGGAGTTTTCATCATGAGACAGAGTTGAAATCTTTTTGATTTTTCTCCCCTGAGTAATGTGTTTTTTGTAAATGAATAAGTTGACAATATGATTGCTGTAATTTTTGTCTTTTCTCAAATTGCAGTCATCTGGGCTGGGGATATAGCTCATTTGTTAGAATGCTTGCCGCACATGCACAAGGCCCTGTGTTCAATCCCCAGCACTACACACATGCACTACACCAAACATACACACACACACACACACACACACAAATTGCAGTCATCTCCAATTAGTGGGTCATGGTATTTAGTGAATTGTATGAAATTTTTTTTTTTTTAGTTGTTGATGGACCTTTATTTTGTTTATTTACATTCGGTTCTCAAACCCAGTGCCTCACACCTGCTAGGCAAGAGCTCTACCACTGAGTCACAACCTCAGCCTTGTATGAATGTTTCTTAATGAAATACATTACAGTAGAAAATACTGTACGTGGCCATAACTGCAAAACTGCATCGCATTGCCAAGAGCAGTGTGAGAGACAGTGGGGAGGGTACAGTGAAAACAGACATTTCTTTAAAAAAAAAAAAAAAAATTATTTATTTACTTATTTATTTTTAGCAGTATGGTGAGGAAAGCAGGTCATGACACGGCCACCAAGAAGGAGAAAAAGAGGAGAGAGGAGAGAGAGGACTTTTTTTTTCCAGTAATGTATACTAATGTCTTCATTATTGGGGTCTTCGCATAGAATATATTTCCTCTGTTGAGTCATGATTGAAAGTTTGGAAAACACTAGCTTTTTTTTTAGTTGTAGATGGATACAATACCTTTATTTCATTTATTTATTTATTTATTTATTTTATGTGGTGCTGAGGATTGAACCCCGGATCTTGCACATGCTAGGTGAGCACTCTACTGCTGAGCCACGACCCCAGCCCATAAACACTAGTTTTGATGTCCTGAAGATGATGCAGGGAGAATGACAATTTTTAGCAATTTTGGCCTCTAATGTATTTTGTTTTTGTCTTTTCGTAGGACATCAGTCCATCACACCAGAGAGAGAGAGAGAAGAGCTTTGGATGAAGAAGGTGTCAACTCAGAGTGGTAACTCCCCAGGTGAGAACCATGCATTTCTGCGTCTGTCCTTGTCATCTCCACAGCTTTGCTCTGAGTTAAACTAGTGCCTGGGTCTCTAATCACCGAAGTGGTCTTTATTCTGCCCTCACCCTTCAGTTGTGCTCTCTTATAAGTCCACTCTCCACTTTAATTGGCTCCTTTTTTTTTTTTTAATTTTTTTAAGTCGTTGATGGATCTTTATTTATTTTTATGTGGTGCTGAGAATCGAACCCAGTGCCTTACACATGCTAGGCAAGTGCTCTACCACTGAGCCACAATCCCAGCCTCTTTGACTCGTGAATGTTAGTCAGATCATGTCTCATTTCTTATTCTAAACCTCTAACGACTTCTTACTTCATTTAGAGTAAAATCCAGGTACCTAAAGTGGTTTATAATGTCTCATGTGTCTGTCTGCTCCTTGTTCCCCCATTGTTCTGTAAACACACCTGTGACTTTCCTCCTTGTCAATCAGTTCCATCCGTACTGGCCTCTCTGCTAGGCTGAGTGTGCTTGTGCCTCATCACCTGCTGCTTGGACTGCTTTTTGTAAGGAGTGGTGTTTCCTTCTGAAGTAAGGCCCCTCCCTTACTTCATCAGGTCTCTTCTCAGATGTCCTATCTGAAGAAAAGCCTTCCATGACCACTGTTAATTTTGCCTTCTTCCTTTGCTTCCCTTTTCCTGTTTATTTTACATCTAAGCATTGATCACCACTTATTATATTAACATATTTTTGTTTACATGATTATCTCACTGTATTCCCACTGGAATGTGACCTCAGAAGAAAGGAAAATTTTTGTCTATTTTGTTGGTCTATCCTCAGTGTATAAAATTGACCCGGCAGAGGGCAGGTTTCCTATAAATACTTGTGGAATGAATTAATGTGTTAATAATGGTTACATGGATTTTTTTCTATTAGTTATGGAGATACTTAAAGGTTGGTAAGTACAAATGTACAAATGTGTGATGAAACTCAATCTAGAACAGCTTTATTCGGTTAGGTGTCTAACCTATTTCTAGTTTACGAGGTTCTTTTGGATATAGGTAAACATATGCTAATATCCATTAATTCACTGTCTTAGTCTGTCGAAATTGCTATAACAATTACCCTAGACTGAATGGCTGAGCCAGTTGTACATGCAGTAAGCCGAAAAATTATGTAGAAGATTTTACCAGACACCTGCTGTAGCAAAAGAAGGCAAGCCTTTTGGTAAGGTTCAGCTTCTTGGTATAGGTTTCCTAGGAAGTATTATTCTTGCTCTTTGAGTATCAAATTTCTAACTTATAGCTTACTTATAAAACTTAGGAAAACTCTAAATTGGTGTCATTATTGTGCAGTGAATGGGAGCATAGTAGACTGTCTCTTGGTTTTGGGGCTCTTTTAAGACAGATAACCTAATGCATGATGATAAAGAAAAATAGAACCTTCTTAATAAAACCTTAGGCTATTGGCCTTATCATGTAACTGAACAGAGCTTATTCACATGCCTCATCTCTGAATTCTCTTTGTCCTTTTAGGAAATAAGAATCTAAGTGAGATAGAGACTCTCCAAGAAGTAAGGTTACAGTATCTGCCCCGTGATGAGCTTTTCTACTCACAAGTCTGGCAACAGGTTACAGGGGACTTAACTGGGCATCAAGATTCCATGATAAATATTCAAGGAACTGGCTCTTGGTTAAAAAAACAAGATGTTGCACTCTCTGAAGATGTGTTCAAGAAATGCTTTAACAAGGATTCACGTCTTCAAGTTTACCACAGAATCCATGTTGATAAAAAACATTACAAAAGGGAGACATGTAAGAAAGGTTCAATTTGGGATTCTCATCTTGAAGTTAACCAGAGACCCCATGCAGGAGACAAGCCCTACAAATGTGAAAAATGTGATAATACCTTCCGTCGATTTTCCAGTCTGCAAGCCCATCAGAGAGTGCACAGTAGAGAGAGTTCAAACAAATCTGATGAATTGTGTAAGGGTTTCAGTCAAAAGTTGCAATTTCCCCATCATCGGAGAGTCTGTACTGGAGAGAATCCATACAAGCATGAGGAGCATGGGAGGAGTGTCCGAAAAAGCTCATATTGCCAAGGTCCTCTGCTAGTCCACCCAGGAGAGAAACCCTATAAATGTGAGGAGTGTGGAGTGAGCTTCAGCCAGAGCTCTTATCTTCAAGTCCATCAGAGAGTCCACACTGGAAAGAAACCTTATAAATGTGAAGAGTGTGGGAAGGGTTTCAGTTGGCGTTCACGACTACAGGCCCATCGGCGAATCCACACTGGAGAGAAACCATACAAATGCAATGCATGTGGCAAGGGCTTTAGTTATAGCTCACACCTTAACATTCACTGTAGAATCCACACAGGGGAGAAACCCTACAAATGTGAGGAGTGTGGGAAAGGCTTCAGTGTGGGTTCACACCTTCAAGCCCATCAGATAAGCCACACTGGAGAGAAACCATACAAATGTGAGGAGTGTGGGAAGGGTTTCTGTCGGGCCTCAAATCTTCTGGACCATCAGAGAGGCCATACTGGAGAGAAACCGTATCAGTGTGATGCTTGTGGCAAGGGCTTCAGTCGTAGCTCAGATTTTAACATTCATTTTAGAGTCCATACAGGAGAAAAACCCTATAAATGTGAGGAGTGTGGTAAGGGCTTCAGTCAGGCCTCAAATCTTCTGGCCCATCAGAGAGGCCACACTGGAGAAAAGCCATACAAATGTGGTACTTGTGGGAAGGGCTTCAGTCGGAGTTCAGATCTTAACGTTCACTGTAGAATCCATACAGGAGAGAAACCCTATAAATGTGAAAAGTGTGGCAAGGCTTTCAGTCAGTTCTCAAGTCTTCAAGTGCATCAGAGAGTCCACACTGGGGAGAAACCATATCAGTGTGCTGAGTGTGGGAAGGGCTTCAGTGTAGGTTCTCAGCTTCAAGCCCATCAGAGGTGCCACACTGGAGAGAAACCATATCAATGTGCGGAGTGTGGGAAGGGCTTCTGTCGGGCCTCAAACTTTCTGGCTCATCGTGGTGTCCACACAGGAGAAAAACCATACCGATGTGATGTGTGTGGAAAGCGTTTTCGACAGAGATCCTACCTTCAAGCCCACCAGAGGGTCCACACTGGAGAGAAGCCATACAAATGTGAGGAATGTGGGAAAGTCTTCAGTTGGAGCTCATACCTTCAAGCCCATCAGAGAGTTCACACTGGAGAAAAACCATACACATGTGAGGAATGTGGGAAGGGCTTCAGTTGGAGCTCAAGTCTTATAATTCATCAGAGAATCCATGCTGATGATGAGGGTGATAAGGACTTCCCTTCATCATAAACTCATAAATTTTACGTTTTAGTATCTCAAATGGGTGCTGAAATAGTCCAATTATCAGAGCTGTCATAGAAGATAAAAGATTTGCTTAATAAAAGGGCTGGATTTTGCTAGAGATTGATAGTGGTTGAGAGACCAAACACAGAGAAGCCTCATAAGAATGGAACCATAGGACTTTATTCAGAACCTTCACCTCTAACAGATATATACAGACAAGAAGCTCAAGAAGGATGAATCTGATCTGGAAAAATCTAAAAAGTACCAAGATGGAAGTGCCAAAATCCATTCAATTAGAATATAATTTCCAAAAGAGTAGAGACCTTATTGACTGCCAAATCTCTGCATTTTCAGTGCCTAGTATATTGTATGCTCACAGTAATTGCTAAATAGTAGAAAGGAGACCAGTTATATTTAAAGTTTTTTATCCAGTTCATCTCTAAATTAGTTTCTGTAAAATTATCCTCAGATGAATTGTTCTACAAGGCTTAGAGGACATTTAAATTAGATATATGCACACATCTTTCCAACCCTGTGCATCCTATAAATGAAGATTTATCAAATTGGGGAGTGGTATAGCTCATTAGTAGGTTCATAACTCAGTTCAGTGGATTGTGGCCAGAATTATTGTACCTTATTGGGGTATAGTTTGAATTCAGTAACATGTATAAATCTCAAATCTGTGGCTTCCTAAATTGTTTTTTGGTGCTGGGGATGGAACCCAGGGTCTCACCCATGCTAAGCAAGTCCTCTATCACTGATCTACACCCCAGTTCACTTCCTAAGTTTTGACAAATGTGTACAATATTTTTGTTAAGCAGAAAGTTTCTCCATGCCCATTCCCAGTTAATCCCACCTTCAATGCCAATATATATTATGATTTTTACTCTATAAATTAGTTAGCTCTGTTGAATATCATATTGGTTCAGTACTTTTCTGTTTGTGGATCCTTAGGATTAGTGTTTCAGATTCAGAGAAAACATTTAACAAAATTTAGCATCTGTTCATGATTAAAAATTTCTTAGATAAAAGATATATGAAACATTAAAAAATTTTTAAATAAGGAATAATTTATATACACTAAAGCTGAGCTTTGGTAAATGTTTACTGTCAGGTAACCACCACCACAGTAAAAAACTTTTAAAAGTTCTAGTACCCCCTGCCTCAAAGTTCCCTTGTTCAGTAGTCAGCCCTTCTCCCCATTGCCAGTCTGTGGCAACCACTGACATGTTTTTTTATTACTTTTACTTTTCCCAATGGAATCTAATAGAATGTAGATTGTTGATTCTGGCTTTTTGCACTTTGCATAATGCTTGGGAGATTTGCACGTCTTCTTACATGTATCTGTCATTTCCTTTTTTTGTGGAGCGGGACAGTGCTCGGGATCAAACTTAGGGCCACATGAATGCTAGGCTAATGCTCTACCACTGGGCTCCTTCCCCAGGCCTCAAGTCATTCCTTTTATTGCTGAGTAGTACTCTGTTGTGTGGATGTACCACATTTGCTTATCCATTTGTCACTTGAAGAATATTTGGGTTTTCAGATTCAGCAGCTATGAAGAAAGCAGCTAGAAACATTTGCATACAGTTTTGTGTATCAACATGATTCCTTTTGTCTTCATAAATATCTAGAATTATTGCTGGGTTGTATGGTAAAAATATTTTTAACTTTCCAAAACATGGACAAACTTCTAAAATGGCTGTCCATTTTGTATTCCCATCATCAATGTATGAGAGTCCCAGTTCTTTCTCACCAAGATGTGTTAGGGTTTCCTTTTGTTTTTGTTTAATCTGTTGTGTTTCACAAGGCTTTAGTGGTATCTCATTTTGGTTGTCATTTGTGTTTCCCTAGGACTACGTTCAGTGTCTTTACATGTGCTTGTTTGGTGTTCTTATTTACTTTGGTGAACTGTTGAAATCATGGCCCTTTAAAAAAAAAAAAAAAACAGAAAAAACAACTGTGTGTGTTAAGGAAAAAAAAAAAAAACTCTGTGTGTGTGTGTGTGTATATAACTGATCCAAATACATATCTGTTGTTAGCCATGTGCTTTGCAAATATTTTATCACAGTATGTGGCATTTGTTTTTATTTGATTAACAGTATTTTTCACAGAGTGGAAATTTAAAATTTTTTGATAAGGTTCAATTTTGGACTTTAATGGATTATTATTTTTCTGTTCCCAGATATAAGTACTCTACCTAATCCAAGGTAACAAAAATTTTATGTCTTCAGGACTGTGAAGATATCTAGGACTGTGAGCCATTTGAGTTAATCTGTTAAGGTGTGAGGCCAAGGTCCCTTTTTTTGTATGGACACTCAATTATCTACCTTTTCAACACTGAATTGCTCTCTCACCTTTGTCGAAAATCTGTGTGTAGGTCTTTTTCTGGCCTTTGGTTTCATTGATCTTTGGATCTATCATTTTGCCAAATATTGCACAACCATAGCTCTTGTTTATGTATCTTGAAATAGGATAATGTAAGTCTTCCGATTCCATTGTTTTTCAGCACTAATTTGACTTTTGTTTATCCTCTTATAATCTGTAGACTCTAGCTTTGTGATTTTTAAAAGTGCATTCTTCTGATTTTTCTTAGGATTTCATTGAATGTACAAAATGAATTTAGAGACAATTGTCATCTTAGCAATATTGAATGTTCCACATCATAGACATGGTATAATTTTGTTTGGAACTTCTTTGGTTACTTTCATGAGAAGTTTGTAGTTTTTAGCATATAGATCCTGTACATATTTTATTAGATTTATACATAAGTATCCCATGCTTTTTGGTGCTAAATTAAATGGTACTGTTTATCAAACATTAATTTTCAGTTGTTCATTGCTAAAATGTAGAAGTACAATTTTTATGTACTACAATAGAAGTACAATTGTTTATATCCTACCCTCTTGCCAAACTGAATAGTTTAAATTGTTAAATAGCTGAAGGAAATCCTTCCTTCCTTTCTCTCCCCCATGTATTGTGCCCAGGGGTCCTTAACCACAGGACTACCTCCCAGACTTTTTTTTTTTTTTTTTTCCATTTTGAGACAGGGTCTCACTAAATTGCCTAGAGCCTTATTAAGTTGCTGAGGCTGGTCTCAACTTGTGATTCTCCTGCCTTAGTCTCTTGAGTCACTGGGATTACAGGCATGCACCACCATGCCCAACCCTTGGGACTTTGTGGGTGGATAATCATGTTATCTGTAAAAACTTTTTTTTTCTTTTTCCCTGCCAATCTGTATACCTGTTACAGCAACTGCATTGTGACATGGAGCAGCTCTCTCCAAAGTTAGGTTTGTTTTTCATGAATTGTGACAGTAGCCCCTTTGATTCCAAAAGGTGAGGAATGGGGTTTATTGTGAAATCTAGTACAGAAAGAGTAGTCAGTAGAAAGTCTAGAACAGAAAGAGTAGTCAGTGTTCATATTATACAGGGGAAGTTCTGCCAGCAGGAAGTTTAAAAGAGATGGTGGGAGGGCACATGCACTTGGGATCCACAGGGGAACCTTGTCAGGATTGTGAAGGAGGCAGTAGACATGGGAAGGTGATGAGGCTTATGGATTGCTTACACTAAGTCAAAGTGTAAGTTTCCTAGAATTGTCACGGTTCACCCCTAATATTTGGGTCAGTACTACAATCTCAGGTTTCCTGTGAACAAATATGTATTGGAGAAAGGTGAAGTTTGCAAATTGACCCAAATTAATTAGTGACTTAGGTTTTAAAAAACTAAAGAGGGCATGAATTGTTACCATCCAAAACCAAATGGGACAAGTTAAGGCTTGTTTGAGAGATCAAAGCAAAGAGAGCCAATACTTATTGCTTGAATGCATACAGCTGCTTTATCATGGACCAAATTTTGCATCCAAATTTGATAGAGGTAGGTCTCTGGACCTTGTTGTACGTCATGGTAGTTTAGCCAAGGTCAAAGTCTTATCAACATTTCTAATGTCTTATATGATGGCTTCATAAGTTTCTTTCTTTAGTACAGTATCATCACTAATTCCATAGCTGAGTGTGTGGGGATATACAGGCCCTTGATTGTCCTTTCTCCATACATTTTGAACAGTGGAGGGCTACAGAAATAGCCAATAGGTATATATAAAAAAAAAAGTATGTGTAAAATGGGATCCCTCAGATAAATGTAAATTGTAGTTTTGGTGGATAAATTGGGACAGTATAAAATATTAAGCTCGATCAGTAGCTTTGAAGCAATATCAGTAATATTTGGTAAGGGGCCTTAACTGGAGATATTATAGGGATTATGAATGTTATGAGGTATTCATTTTTACTCGTGTTAAGGGTAGGCCAAATAGGGCAACTGGAAGGAAAAAAAGGAGACAAGGATTCTTTTTGCAATGAAATTATTAAAAACAACACTTAATTCTTTCAACCTTCTTTGTTCCGACAACATGAGGTGTTCATAAATTTAATAGGTCATTGTTTAATAGCACTAGCATAACCGTTTGTAAAGGGATTGGCATTGGATTTCTGCAGTCTTTCTTACTCCCAACACTTTTGACAAAATATGTAGGGGCTTTCTATACCACTTCTCCAACTCTGACACCAAGTGGGTGTGTAATGAAATGATTTATTTCATTTCTGATAGTAAGTACCTGGTTAGCACCAGATCCCAAAGATTAAGGGCTCATTCCCATAAGACTCCCCCAACTGAGAATCCAGCCTTGAAGTCCCAGGCCTCTTAGTTCTGACCAACTAGCTCCCTCCTTGGATGCAAGAATTTCCTAGAATGATTTGCAGAACTCAGGAATTCCTGAGTTTAATTTCTCTTGCCAATCTATTACAACAGATAAAACAGCCACATGGAAGAGGTACATAGGGTGAGGTACCTGGGAGTGCCGGAGGCAATGCAGCGTTTCCATGCCCCTTCCAAGAGCATCCCTCTCCCAGCACCTATCAAGGTGTAGTGTTGTAGTCACCAACTTGGAAGCTCTTTGAACTCTCAAAGGGGTTTTTATGGAAATTTCACTATGTGTGCATGGCTGAGGAAATTTACCCTTAGATTGAGCTCCATCTGTGCCCCCTCTTCCCCTTCTGAGACATCAGTAGTGAGTGGGGCTCATGGTTCCAACTCTAAAAATGTTGTAGAATAAGAAGTGTTGCTTTCAAAATGTTCTGAATGTGCCGATATCTCTTTGTTTTGTTTTGTGGTGCTGGGGATTGAACCCAGGGCCTTGTACATAAGAGGCAAGTACTCTACCAACTGAGCAATATCCCCATCCCTGTATGGATATCATTTCTTTATACACTTAAAAAGGCTGCTTTTGTGAATTACATATAAAAATACATTTTTTTTTGTTGTTGTTTGTTTTGTAGTGGAGAGTGAACCCAGGGCCTGGCATGGGCTAGGCAATCATGCTACCCCTGAGCATGTTTTCTAAACATTATGTTAAAAATACTTTTCATGGGCTGGGATTGTGGTTTTGTAAGCGCTTCTCTAGAACGTGTAAGGCACCAGGTTCCATCCTTAGCACCAAATATATATGAAAAAAAAATTCATGACCTTAAAAAAAATTTTTTTTCGTGGCCAAAAAAGAAAAGGAACAACCAGAAAGTAAAAAAGAAAAAAATAAACTGGGAGAAAATATTAACAAGAAAAATGAGACATGAATACATAAACAATATTTAAATGAGGTTAAAACATAGAAAAGGTTTGGAAAATTTACCAAAAATTAATAATAATGACCCTTGAAAACACAAAGGTGTTCTATTTTATTTACAATACAGAAAATATAGGTTTAAAACTACATTTAGATACCGGTCTACCTCGCCTATTCTGCAAATCAGGCTTTAGCTTCATAACGTCAGATTAAATACCTTTTCAGTCGCTTACTGAGTCCTGGTTAATTCCTTGAAGAGCCTATCTCATTCGTTCCAACAACCCTGCCAGGCTGGAGGGTATTTACACTGTCTTTGAAATAGTTTTGTGTGAGGATTCGGGTGAATGTGAGGACAGCCCTCAGTTCACATCATCACATAGGAGCCTAGGAATGGGCATGCAAAGACGTTCCGTGGAGAAGCAACGCTCTCTGAAGCGTTCTGGGAAACGTCCATTGGTTACTTGGAGTCCCGCGTAGTTCCCCTGGGACGGGGGTGGCGGGGGAGGGGGGGGAAACGTCCCAGGAATTCTGGGAAGTGTAGTCCAGGCAGTCCGTAGCGTCGCGGGCATCTTTGCTTAGGAGGGCGGATGCCTGGAATTCTGGGAAGTATATTCCGGAAGGCTGAGTCAGACACTTCCGCTCCCTGAGCCGGAAGTTGCTGCTGTTTGTGTGTGTTTTTTTTTCTCATGGTGATTGAAATCAGTTTCTTGGGCCTTGGGAGCTCTTCCGAATTTCCTGGCCCCCCACCCCACAGGCACCCTCAATGACTCTGCCTTCAGTTTAGGGGAAAGGAAGCCTCCGCGGAGAGCAGGGGTTTGGAGCGGTGACAAACCAAGTTTCCGTTTTCCCCGCGGAGCCTGCTCGCGTTTGAGAGTCTGTGGTGGAGTCCCCGGGTTCGTGACCTGGTCAGGGCGTGTATCACCTGGTTTGAGGGTTTCCGGGGCTCTCGGCTTGTCTAATCCGCCCCTCTCCACCGCTAACGCGAGGCCACTTCCTCGGGTGGCCCACGTTGGGGACTTACTCGATGGGGGGGGGGGGGGCTCATTGTCGTCATTTTAAATGTACCATCCTAATGGCATGGCTTGGGAATTGCAAGAGGATCTTCAAAGCAAAGACTTAAAACCGTTACGAGCACCTAGTGAATGGTGGCTTTTCTTGTTACCATTTATTTCCCGCTGAATGGCGGGAGACGCTGGGTTGAGGCTAGAGAGCTCCAGCTGCCGGTGTTCTGGCTCTTGTTTGGGGTCCTTGCAGACCCGTTCATTCTGGTGCCTACTTGAGCAGAGGGAGGCCATGATTGAACTTCATTCCCATCAGAGGGTGCACAGTGGAGAAAAGCCATACCGATTGAGGAGTGTGGGAAGAGTTTTACTCAGAATTCCCAACTTTATTCCCATAGGAGGGTCCACACGGGAGAAAGACCCTATATTTGTAAGGAATGTGGGAAGAGCTTTGGCTGGGCCTCCGATCTTTTGAAACATCAGAGACTCCACAATGGAGAAAAACCATTCAAGTGTGAAAAGTGTGGCAAGAGCTTTACTCAGAATTCAGAACTTCATACCCATGGGAGAGTCCACACTGGGGTAAAGCCATGAAAGTGTGAGGAGTGGGGATAGCTTCAGTTGGGCATCAAGTCACCAAGACACCACGGTGGAGTAGAACCCTTCAATTGCAAAGAGTATGGGAAGAGCTTTGGACACAGTTCATATGTGAAAGTGCACAATGGATAAATGGCTTACAAATCAAGGACTTTGGGTAGGATTACATTGGAGCTCAAATCTTGATCTGTGTTTGAAGGTCCACACAGGAGATAACCCATGCAGATGTGGAGAATGCTATAATTCTTTCAGTCAGTCTCACAGTCTCAGTTTTGAACTGCATCAGAGCACCCCCACCCCTCACCCCCCGCCAAATTACCTTGGAAATGTGATGCATGTCTTTAGTTGGTCTTCACAACTACTCCTATTAGAAACCGTAGAGATGGGGGATGTCTGGGGTGGATCTGTAGTTCAGTGGTAGAGTGCTCGCCTAGTATTTGTGAGGCACCAAGTTCTATCCTCATCACCGCATAAAAATAAATAAAATAAAAGTATTATGTTCATCTACAACTAAAAAGAAAACTATAAAAAAAGGTGACGGTATGTGTGATAAGCACTCAGTTAAGTGTACCTTAAAATTCATCACAGAATCCATACTGGTGAA